TTGGGTGTTTTCTTGGCTAGACTGGGTGTGGTTTGTTTTGCTTTGCTCTTCACCAAGGATGCGCAACTGAAGGATTTGATGAAGCTCATGCCGTTGCAGGATAATTTCAAGCTAATGATTGCACAGCAGCCTTCGTTCGTAACAATCTCTCTAATGTTTGGGGCATTGATAATGCGAGACTGTTGTCAACGTTTCAGCCGCCTTTGGCTTTACCCGAGAGTGCGTTACGCCCATCGTTGCGTTTTGCGACTGCTGGCCTACTATTTTCTATACTTTGCTTCGGATAATGCCCGTTTTGGATGTCTCTGTGTTTGCGCTTTGGTACCTTGGCCAGAGCTTTGGTGGCTGTTGTGTTGGTTGAAGTTAAAATTGGTTATGCATGTGCGTTGCATGTATCCGCCGATGCCGCGACGTTTGCTGAGTCGCGAGGAGTTCAATGCGCAAACTCTATATGAGACGCAGTGTGCACTGAACGATCTGAGAGAACGGGCAAGGCTGGAGAGACCCACTTGGCAGCAGGCGGCGTTGTTGCAGGAACCACTTCAATTTGCTCGGTTTATCGATGGGGAATCCGATTTGTTGGAGCCTAGCAACTTGACGCAACGATACAGCAACACGTTCATTTCCAGCACCCATTCCAATTCTAATAATGCCGCCATGGGAGGTCGCCAGGAAGGCATTGAGCAAGCAACAACAGCAGTTCAAACAATGCCACAATCTTCGCAAGTAGCACGCAACACACCCTTCACGGGTCAAGATCCTGCGGGAACACACGACCGCAGCGATTGGCAATATAACGCGACCACCGCTTTGGGCACAAATGGGGTAACTCCACCTTCCAGCAACATCAGGACATTGTATCAAAATACACGCTTCTTGGCACCCAATCCCACACGCAATCTTACCGGGCAACGTGACCATAAGTAGCAACAATTCCCCTCCCTATCCCCAATCGCTACCCCGTCTAACCTCAAAACTAAATGCATTTGATAATTGAAAAATAAAACACATGATGAGCCTGAGATGTGAGAGTTAGTCGATGGTTTGCTGGTCCGCTCAATGACATGCCAATGGTTGGATACTACACACTGCTCTGCTGCTGAATGTTGCATGCAGGATGTGGGATGTTGTAGGTCGCTTCTGCCGTTGCCATGGACAACGTGGTCGTTGCCTTTTCCATTTGCCATTTTCCTTCGCCTTGCCTTGCTCAGCGCAAGCTTCGGTACCGAGCATTGTGCGCATCGTAGAATTGAAAAAGGGAAATTGCCTGAAGCCAACAAAACAGAATTCGAACTGACGCAACAGAAGCACAACAACGACTATTTCTTGAGCTAAGTTCGTACGTGTGTATATTTGAGTGTGTGTGAGTGTGTTTTGCAGAAAATAGTTTGACACAATAAGGCACATAAGAATAGGGCCAGTTAAAATTAGATACATGCCGAAATATCGTGAAGACATGCAAAAATGGTCGTGAGCTCACATAAGTCACGAGACTCACGGGTAGAGGTAGCTATACAAAATAGTGTTCGAAAAGCAGCTATAAAGTATAACTTTCGGATTAATTGACGATCTTTTAGAACGTGATTTACGTGGCAAAAGTCAAAAAGGAAAAGTTTCCAAAGATTTAGTCACTATTTAAAAATGATAATGGCGGCGATTAGGTTTGTCTCTCTTTTAACTGAACAAACATATAGTTTGCAGAAGCCAGAAGCAACGATGTTCTACATCACAGGGAATTAACAAACGGTGCAACATTACCAAAGGGCCTTAATCTGCAAGAACAGAACTTGATGTTTCTGGAAGCAAGTTTGAAAATTGATCCAAATTCGAGAGTAAATGTTAGAAATATTCAGTTTAAAGCTTTATTTAAAACGTTTTTAAAAATTTATTCTTCGATACTTTTAGGATATGTAGGACATGAAGAGTTCTAAAGTGAGCCGCTCGATACATCCGGGAAAGTGGACTAGTTGTGGGAGACCGATTCAAAAAATTTGACAAAAAAATGTTGAAACTATCATTTTAGTTTTGTGAAATAAATTCGTTTACCTGAGCTATCAAAAAATGTGGCTAACATTTTTGATCATTTAAATCAATGTATTTAATAATTATGAACAATTATAACATTTTCCAATTCATAAAAATTAATTAATATTTTTAAATTTAAAGTGAAATTTTTTGATAAATATTTTAAAATGAAGGAATCACATTAATAAAGTTATATTATTATTAAGCACCACAGCGAAGGTTCGAAAAATTTAACCCGCAAGCAAATACAAAAAACATCGTTTTTTTTTTTTAAGTATGCCTAGAATAATGAAAAATATAAGAAATAGGCTTTTCAAATACGCCTCATTTTAATATTATTTATAGTGGTTCGAATTTGATAAAACTTAAGAGTAGTAACTAATTACGATATCGTAAGAAATAAATCAATTTTTGGTACTAAGTGGGAATTTTTCACTAATAGTTCCTATTCCAGCTATATGAAATAGTACACCGATTATGGTACACCTTCAAAATATGGTGGGACATTACTAAAAACCAATATGTAATTACAAAACTTGATATAGCTAGCTGGCTATATCGATTCGTCACAGGCATGTTTTTTCGTTGAAATACAAGACAACTGCACTATTATGACGGCCGCAGGTGTGCTCATCTCGACATTGCGTACACGCAACGTTGGCCAGCAAAAGACAAGCCAGCAGGAAGGCAGTCGGGCAGGAAGGCTGACTGACTGGCAAGCAAAATGCATGGCTGAGTGTTTGTGTGTGTATGTGTGTGTATAGTATGTGGAAAAGCAGGCCCAGCCAGCAATGAGTAACAAATAAGAGACTTCAGCGTTGGGCCGTAGAAGGTTGGAGGAGCATGGCTAGAGCATCATCATAGAAGCCTATTACTCCTGCCCCCGATATATGGTGGGTACAAGCATGCCATTAGCAGCAGAAGCAGCAGCAGGAAAAGCAGAAGCAGGAACAACAACAAATGCAAAAACAACAACAACGTTCGATCGAACGTCAACAGCATGAAAGTTGCGTTTCTATTGAACAAACATCGTCCATTCGGACAACCCCCTCGCCAATCTACAGCCGATAAAGGTCCAGCAAGTGCAAATGTGGAAAATGCGCTTCTACGTCCCGCCCTCCTGCCAATAGGCCGAAGTATAGCTCGGTCCAAGTCCAACGCATTTGATAACGAAAAGTGGAACTTCAAGCATTTGGCGGGCAGGTAGCGATTGCCTGAGTTCAGTTTTCTTCCCTGTGATTTTCGTTTTTACTTTTTTTTTATACTCCCGGTGGTAGTTTGGGAAAATTGACTAAATGCAACGGTTCGAGTTCATTACGGCAAGAACCAAATGGGCCAATTTTGGCTGGGCCCAAATGCCTATGCGAGTCTAATTGGTTTCAAATTTTTTTCGTCGCTATATGTGGAATGGACAAATTTATATTTAGTGGTTGTTCCCATTTGGGACCGTGCTGGGGGTTGGAAAGTGCATCCTCGACTTGTTATCGTAGTTGGGCAAGAATTTCCATAGCTGGGGTTGCTATAAGTTGTGAAAAGTTGCGTCAAAGGTCGTTGCGACGGTGGCGGGCATTGTTAAGGGGTGGGACGGGAAGTAAAGTAAAAAAGTTGTTCATCAACAAAGGGGATTTTCACAGTTTAGAACTTGACTTTTGTGGGGCTTACACAAAGTTGCATAAAAGACGCAAAATTTGAGGACTTAAATAATAGTGCCTAAAAAGGTAATTATACATATGTTTTAAATTAGCAGGGGGCTGATATGGTATTGAAAAGACTTTAAGACATAATATTGTAAGCTATTATAAATGAGAAATGAAACACTAAGAAATGGCATCAGAACTGAGTGCAGAACTATAGATGGAGATAGGGCTTTAACTATTTAGCCTAAATTGAGTTTTGAGATACTGTTACTCATGGTAACAATAAGAGTTTCCTTGATTTATGGATTGAAAACAACAATGTACTGAAAATTACAACAGCCTTCGTTAAATATCAAAGTATTTGCTATAACAAAGTTTACGAATCAAACAAGGTTGTACAAAGTATAAAAATTAAAATTATATGAAATCGAAACGCTCTAGGCACCAAAGCATAACTTATGCATTAAAAAAGCCCTCCTAGGTGCTCCTCCCACCACAATTCAAGCAGCATCAACTGATTTAATCATTCGTGCTTCTCTGATGAAGCGCCTAATTAAAGTCTGTCTAGTACCAATAGCTGACTTGATAAACTTTAATGCACTTCTCACACAAAACAGAAAAATTGTAAAACCCAAGATAGATTCAGATAGATTTGCTTAAAATATATTATGTTGAGTGACGCAGCATTGATATTTTGGGTAACAATTTACTAGAATTGTTAATTAAACTCTTATTTATATAGAATGGTTAATTTAGGTATTTTTATACATATATATACTAAGAGAAGACGCCGATTTATTAATAACAGAAAAAATATAGATAGGGTTCTGAAGAAATATAGTAAGCCAGCTAGAAGTGTTTGAATTAAGTTCTTTATGTGAAGCTGTATTTTATGGAAACAAGTTTCTTAACTGTTTTTAAAAAATATATTTCGTATCTTATCTTACTTTAAATGATTTATATAAAAATTGAATTAATTATTTATTGAAACACGTTTCAAATTTTATTTTATATATTATTATCTCTAACGAAAAATTGGAAATAAATTAATCAAAATATATATATGTTTTTATCATGTTTAAATGAAAATTGGGAATCAAATTTATTATATATTTATTTATTATTAAATGTATTTTGTGATTTACAATTATATGCTTTTTTCCGAAGATTTATTTTGTTAAAGGAATAAATCAACCTAACTCAAAGTTTCATTGAACTTTCGGACTGGCATTTACTTGGAAAATATATTCAAGTCGAAAATGTTCAGATAAGTATACTCAACACTAGTATATCTGTACTTATAAGATAACTTCTATTAATATTGTTCACTTTACTGACCTGCACCATTTTGTGTTTTTTGTTGTTGGTTTTGTTTGCGGGCAATAAATAAAATGCCAAATATCCAAGAAATCAAAGAAAACTGTTCAAATCGCTGCCGAACTGAGGAGAGACGCTGACGCAGACGTCGCCGGCAACTGGGCTGCACGTGTCAATTTCACTTTTGTTTTGAATATTTTCTTTTACTTTTTTCTTAATTCATTAATACGCACACGCGAACACACATGCACGAGCGAAGGCGGGCTCAAGGCACTCACACATACACGAGCAGAGGCAGGCGGCAGCGCGCAAATTGGCGGCGGCGAAACGAGTGCGAAAGATAGAAAGCAAACTGATCGTTTTTTATACACGGGGCGTTCTAATATTTACAATTGTTATAGTTGCTTATAGTAATTATGTTGTGCGCTTTAATGTTTACACGTTGGCTTAGTTAATACAAAATGCTTTGTATGTTCCGCAAAGCCGCACCGCACACAACAAGAACACCGAGAACAATGTGCGACCGTGACGTCTACTTAGTGTGTGCACACTCTGCGTGGAGAAAATGTACTTCCAAAATACCAAAGGCACTCATTTTCGTCGATCTGGCAGCTCTACTAGTGACCCTTACCACAGCAGTTAGTCAATACCGACAGCAATTTAAAAAAATAAATTATATATTCAATTTGAAATACATTTTACTTTCCTTTTTATTTTAACATTCATATAAGAATTCATATTTTCATTCACCTATTACTTATATTGCTAATGATGAGAGGGCCCAATTCTTATACACATTAACTTGATAAAGTAAACTAAAATATGAGTATTTTGCATGTTAATATTTTTTATATTTAAAATTAATAATTAAAATAAAAACAAGAATGGAATGAATAAATACTCTCACAAATCAAAAATTAAATTTTTTTTAAAATTTTAATTAATTAAATTAATTTTAAAAAATATATAAAATTATGTGCATAGAATCGTACGTACTTGATAAAATGACTAAATGATGAATATTTTGCATATTAATATTTTTTATATTTAAAATTATTAATTAAAATAAAAACAAGAATGGAATGAATAAATACCCTCACAAATCAAAAATTAAATTTTTTTCAAATATTAATTAATTAAATTAATTTTAAAAAATATATAAAATTATGTGCATAGAATCGTACAGTTTTAGAAAAATATATTTAAATCAATATATATATTTATATATAACAATGTTAAAATAATATCAAACATAAAATCGGGAAATCTGTTTGTATTATATATTTAAAGACGATTAGTTATTGACTGTTGTTCATTTAACAACCAAAATATACTCGAGTGTATTGAAATGCTTACATTTTTTTTAACCACAACATTAACCTAAGTTTTTATTTCAAATGGTGTGTTTTTTTTGTTATTATGTGGTTTGATTTAATTCGTCGAAGAAAGATTTTAGAAGGATTTACACCCAATAACTGAACAAAGCACAAATATTATTGCCCATGAAATTAAATCTTTTGTTATTGTCTTTTGGATATTACTTCTATAAAATACCCTCGTTAAAAAACAACGCAGTACAAACACTTTATAATGATAGAAATAATGTGTTTTCAATTATGAAAATCAACAATAAAAAAATTATGAATTAATTCGGGCAACATTAGTATTAGTATCTTCTAAGTCTTTTAAGTCTTTGTTTCGATATACATAGATTTTAATTTATTTATATGATTTGCGACTTACAATTAAATTAAATTAAATAATATAAAATATGAATATTCGGGACCTTTTGGCATCACCAGTTCCTTGGCAGTGTGTCCTCACCTTATGCTATACGGCAAACGCGCCAGCTGACACAGCTGTTGTTCGAGAATTGGTAGCACTTTTTCGTAAAATAAATAAAGCAAAGAATTTGAACAATTTGAAGTTTGAAAAATAAGTACTTAATTAAGTTAAGCGAACTCTTGTCCAATTTATGAAAATGTCGGACAATGAGTACGAGCGCTTTGAGATAACAGACTATGATTTGGACAACGAGTTCAACATAAATAGGCCAAGGCGGCGGCAAACAAAGCAACAACAAATTTATGGTACTTGTGCACTATTATTTTACAGTTCCTGACAATTAATACTTAATCCCCATATTATTTAATGTGGCTGTGGACTCTATATAAAATAGTAATCATTAAAATTTGAAATTGTATTGCAGGGATTTGGGCGGACGACAGTGACAATGAGAGCGGCGAGGAAGCGAGCAGCAGTCGTCGCGGACGTCGTGGTCTGGGCGCTGGCACTAAGAAGTCCAAAGATTATACGGCGCCGGTTAGTTTTGTGGCCGGTGGCATACAACAGGCCGGGAAGAAGAAGGATAAGGACAAGCAGGGTACGGAGCGGACGGCGTCGGGCAGTGATGATGCGGGCAGTGGGAGCGACAGCAACGACGCACGACCCTCCTTTGGGCGTAAGCAGCCGCAGCTCATGGACTTGGGGGATAGCGCCAACTCCTCGGACAGTTCGGCGGACGAGGCGCGCTCAAAATCGGCTGCAAATGCCGCTCGACCCACCTCAAGTTTTAAACACAACTCACATATAGCTGGTAATAGAAATGTGGGCGCTTGGGAACAACACACGCGTGGTATTGGTGCCAAGCTGCTCTTGCAAATGGGCTACGAGCCGGGTAAAGGTTTGGGTAAGGATCTGCAGGGTATATCTCAGCCAGTGCAGGCGCATGTGCGTAAGGGACGGGGCGCTATAGGCGCCTACGGACCCGAAACAGCAGCCAGTGTGGGCGGCAAGGCGAAACCGGCGCTCAAAATCGACGAGGATGTGCGCGAAGCGAAGGAGTTCAAGGAGCAGATGAATAAGTGGCGCAAGAGTGGAACCGAGACGCGTGATAAGAATGCGAAGCGCTACTATTACAAATCTGTGGAGGAAGTGATAGCCAAGGGCAAGAAATCGGATCACTTGCTGTCAGAAAAGCTAAGTAAGAAGCTAGGAAATGTGCCCGTCATCGACATGACGGGGCCAGAGCGTCGAGTACTCAGCGGCTACCATGCATTGGCACAGACAAAGGTGACTGTCGATGAAACGCTATACGATGTCGATGCTAACAAACCGGAACAGGCCGGCCCCACCACCGTCTTCAGCATGCCCGAGCTGACACACAATCTGCAGTTGCTGGTCAGCCAGTGCGAGCAGGAGATCATCGCCATTGACAAGTCAGAGCGGGAGTGCACAGATCGGCAGGAGGCTCTGGAGCATGAGTACAAGAAGCTCCAAGAGATTGTGCAGCTCGAACGCAATCACATGACAACGCTAGAAGCGGCGTTGGCGCGCGTCGAGGAGCTGAGCAGCGATGAGGCAACTTTGACATTGGCACGTGCCGAGCATCTGTTTTTGGAGCTCCAACACGACTACGCCGCCGAATACAAAGAGTTCGGTCTGGCCGACTTGGCAGCCGGTGTCATAGCGCCGTTGGTGAAACAAGAGCTATCCACATGGCAGCCGCTCGTACAACCCACACAGCATTTGGAGCTGATCAAGAAATGGCGGGGTATATTGCAACAAAATGCGGAGACAGAACAACCACGCAATGTCTTCGATCCGTACTCCTCGCTCATTTGGGCCGGCGTTATTCCTTCATTTCGTGCCTGCGCCGAAAATTGGGCGCCCAAGCAACATCAGCCAATGGCTGCTCTCTTGGATGCTTGGGCACCGCTCCTCCCTACCTGGGTGCTGGACTCGGTTCTCGAGCAGCTGATATTGCCGCGTCTAGCGGCTGGAGTACGCGATTGGGACCCACTCACCGACACAGTGCCCATACACAGCTGGGTTCTGCCTTGGCATGCGATACTGGGCCCCAAGCTAGAGGAGTCCATCTATGCCCAAATACGCAGCAAGCTGGGCGTGGCACTTCAGGCTTGGTCGCCGCAGGATCGCTCAGCGCGTGCGATGCTCACGCCCTGGCAGGGCGCGTTCGCCGAGGAGGAGTTGCTTCACTTCCTGCTCCAGCACATCATTCCAAAACTGCAGGCAGTGCTCAGCGAGTTTGTCATCAATCCACTGCAGCAGAATTTGGGTGAGTTCACCACTCCCCTTACTCTTCCCTTTTGACTAATGTTCCATATTTTCTAATCTGCAGAGCTGTGGCATCAGGTCTGGGAATGGCATGAGCTCATACCGCCGATGCATATGGCTCAGCTGCTGGACAAGTGCTTCTTCCCGCGATGGATGCAGGTGCTGGTCATGTGGTTGAATCAATCGCCTGACTATACAGAAATTTCACGCTGGTATACCGGCTGGAAGAACATGTTTAGCGAAGCGCTGCTGCGAGAGCCCCCCGTCAAAGAGCACTTCCGCCGAGCACTGGAAATGCTGCATCGCGCCTCCGATGCTTTGCTGAATCCGGTACCGATACCAGCTACGCCCCTCATGACCAACATGCCTGCAGCGACTCCTGTGCTGCTCACGCCCGTCATGCTGGTGGATGTGCAACCCGCTCAGCTGGAATTCAAGGAGTTGGTGTCGCAAAAATGCGCCGAACTGGGCATCATCTTCGCACCACTACCGGGTCGACGCGAATTGGGCAAGCAGGTGGGTGTGGCTTAATTTTCACACAATTCCAAGCTAATGCTGTTGTTTTCTTTTTAGATATATCGCGTGGGAAAACTGTTCTGCTATATCGATCGAAATGTCTGCATGCTGAGCGATGGAAGCTTCACAAATTGGCAGCCAGTGGCTCTGAATCAGCTGCTGGATCGAGCACAGACTGGCCTGATTTAGAAAATATTGTTTGATACTAGTCCCCTCTAAATATATGGCATGCCAGGCTGGCACGTTTGCAAAGTCGTATATTCAAGTTTAGCTTTCTTTAGCGTCTGTACAACAAAATTAATGACCTGGAACACAAAACGCGTTCTTTATTTAGGTGGCTTGCTTTTATTAAAATGTTCGTAAATCCTTTATATACAAGCGCATTTAAACTTAAATGAGCATAGAACTGAAGAAAGGTATTTTAATTGGAAAAAAAAATCGAAAAAAACTTTAAAATTACTTGTTATACCCTGTACCCGTGGGGTAAAAAGGTTTGTGCAAAGTATGTAACATGCAGAAGCAAGCATCTCCGACCCCATAAAGTATGTATATTCTGAATCAGCATGACGAGAGAAATCGATCTAGACATGTCCGTCCGTCCGTCCGTCTGGATGAACGCAAGGATCTCAGAAACTATAAAAGCTAGAATAACGAAAGTTGGTATCCAGATTCTCCTAGGTCCGCGAAAGGACGAGTTTATTTTATTTTTTGGAATTTTCCCCCCCTTCCCCCGCTACAGAATTTCGTCAATAGCGTCCACATTTCAAATGCTACCTAAACCAAACTTTGCATACCAATTTAATTCAATTCAGTCAATTCTAAGAAAAGTTATTAGCGAAACAAATTCTCGCCAGTACAACGCCCACAAACTGCAGCAACAAGTTCGCTCTTCTTCTTCCTCTTTTTGCTGCTGCTTTGGGCGCATATACCTCAGTGTCGGAAGTTTACCTGGGTACAGGGTATTACACTTTCGGGCTTGCTCGACTGTTCTCTCTTGTTTTTTTTTTAAAAACCTATCTGCAACATAGAACACACTTTTTATTTTATTTGTAAGTAGTGTTGGTATTGTGATAATTGATCCAAAATTGTGGAATATTGTCACAATTTCAAGAGTATTGTAATTTTCCCATTTAACAGTTAAATAGTTATAACAACCACATTAGTTTATTATTATATTGAAAATTATTTACAAACGTTTAAAGTTATATGATCGCCGGTACAATCTTTCTCGGAATCCTTCGGGCACAAGTCTTAATTAAAACAATTAATTAGATCGAGGATGTAATGTAACGTAAATTCTGACTTACTTGAGGAGCTGCTGGTAGAAGATCTTCCAAGTCTCGAGCATATCTAATATTTCTGACTGGAAAGTGGCTTGTCGCAATTCCGAGTGCTCCCAGCTGTCCAGAGTGCGACGCACCAAAAAGGCGCCATCCAATGTAATGAAGGTGTAATTCAAGCTCATTAGCACCTGACCCTAGTATTTCAAAAATAAAGAGACAATTGTAGAAATACGTATAATTGCGATAGTAACTGTTGAGAGATGCACTCTCTATTGTTTTAATCGAATCAATGTCTAAGGGTTGTGTTAATATTTGCTTTATTAGATACAAGTGTATTTCTAGAGTTAATTGGCCGAAATTTTGATCTGAGCGCTTTAACTGCAACATTAATGATCTTTAACGTAAGCCTATACTTAATAGCCCCCCTTAACAGGATCTAGAACATTGATATTTTATATTTGAAGCCACAATTGCCGGTAAGGCAAACCGAAATGATTAACAATACTATATAAGTTATAAGAAAGTTCTGTGTCTTTTCACGCAAGATCCGTTATTTGGCAGAGAAAAGCAATTCCGCACATCTCAAGTGTAATCATAACAGATCTGGCATTATAAGATATTGCAACAGTGCAATTCCCATTCAACTTTTAAAACTATGTATGTTAGACCTAAAATTTAATTCACTTAACTTATCTTCTCTTATTACCAACTACACTATGTGGAATGGAATATTCACAGATAAGTAGTGTGGTTTCGATTTCCCGATTGAATAAACTATAATGATTTCTGAATAGCGAAAAAATATAAATCTTGTGATGAAATATTTTATTTTTATTTGAATAGGTCTACATTATTCAAATTTCAGGAATATTCTTTGGTGATTAACCGTCTGTGTCTATTAATTTCTGCCGTTGGAATATGAATTCAGTACTATAGTCCACAAGGTAAGGACAATGATAAATAGTGGCAATAGACGTAAAAGTCAACGCACAGTGATGATTAGTGGGAAATTTGTCAACCGATAAATGAAGAGTACTATGCATCACAAATTGGTAATATCACATCGTGATAATAAAGAAATCTAAGCCAAACATAATGCTCTCTTGCATCAAAACAATACACCACATACATATGATTCAATTCGATGTGAATAGAATAACATTGTGTTTAATGTGTTTTTTTACTGATAAGTATTATAAAAAAGCTGTTATTCGAAAATCTACAAATTAGGCGAAGATTTGTAAGAGCGTCGACGAGAGTTCTCCGTTGAATGTAGTTGAGAAAAGTTCATTATCCGAAGACGATTCTATTTAGTCGTATTTAGACGATATTAGAGCTGTACAAATGGGCTAGAAGGGTTAAGAACGTTGAGGCAATCTATAAGTGCATCACCATACTACTTAAGAATCCATTTAACGGGAAAGACAATACAAAGTGCAGTTCTATCGAAGACGAAAAAAAGATATATTAGCGAGGGCCTGCTAAAGTACCATGGATGGGAGTTACGAAAAGAATGAACTGATTGTTGACAGAATAAATAAGGAAATTCAAAAAAAAAAAAATAAACTCGTGCTTTCTCGGACTTAGGAGAATCTGGATACCAACTTTGGTTATTCCAGCTTTTATAGTTTCTGAGATCCTTGCGTTCATCCAGACAGACGGACGGACATGTCTAGATCGAAGGACGTAATGGAACCCGTAAAAAGCGAAGGACGTATTGGGAAAGATGTGACTTCGGAAGGATTAAAAAGCATTTCGGAAACGCTAGTGTAACACAAGAATCGGGAACTCGAAACTTTGAACGAGCAGCTATACATCTATACCAACTAGTTGTGTTAAATATATTTTTATCAGATATCAATGAATTTTAATTATTTTTAAATATTAAATTAGTGTTTATGTTTAGCCTCATACTTTGATAAATCATTCTTTTCTCATAAACTATAGACAAACTTGGAAATTATAAAGACAGGTAATTTCATAAGCAAAATCATCAAACGGATATCGCAAGAAATAGTTGGCTAACTAGAAAACGAAGCCTAACAGAAAAAAATTAGTTTAATAATTTAAAATTTACCTTCAAGTTGGCGCCGTGCTCATAAATGGACTCCGATTGGAGACGTTCGTCATATAGTGGCTCTAACTCATTGATGCTCACATAGGCGACGCACATATCCATTGTTGTGGAGCGCCTGAATATGAAGAGTTCCTCTCTGGGATTGGGGGCCACTAACCAGAGTTTTTGTTGCTGGGGACTATCATATATGGGACTAGTGATGTTAAATTCGCCTAGAACTTCCACTAATTGTCGCTTGGTGAGGGGCAGGGGAGCCTCAGGTCTGTGCGCAAAGGTAGGCAGACAGAAAACACTGCTCTTGAAAGGTCCGGAAATTAGTCAGAGATGTGGGCTTAGTCCATTTACTTACGTAGTGTAGGGCATAGGTATGTCCGCGAAGCGCCACCAATCATGATCCCACATAAATCTGAGAAATTTCTTGACGAACTTCGGCGTCGGCAGTAGCTGGATATCCATGGCCAGTACATAGTAGGTGCGGGCGTTCATACGCGCCACGTTCCGCATAAGATTCGCTGGATAGGGCAACTGCTTATTATACCAATAGGTTAGGTGCTGGCAACATCGGGAAAAGGGTTCGATCACATTGCAGGAAACAGAAGAGATAGTGGGCCGTTTTCCTCTATATCGCAGGACAGCAGGCATATGATCGCTGTGCATGATGATATGAATGCTCAGGTAACGGCGTATAGGAAGTGACAGACCCATGCAAACATCCAGATATGCTATCGATTCCATTGTGCGTTGATAGTCCTCCCCGTTGGCATAAATGGACATACTAATGGGCGCGCGCCATCTGCAAAGAACCCTTAACTTATCGAGAGCTCTGCACTCAGATTGAAATTGAAGACGAACCTGGTCAGTAAGTTCGGCAATAGAGCCAGATCCATGTAGGTGCCATGGGTGGTGAGCGTAATGCTCTCATTTCCACTCAGCTCCTCACTATCCCTTATAAAGTCGTGCCACACCCAATACTCGCCATGCTGGCGTATATGACCACCAAAGTTAAGCTTCGTGTTAAAGAATTTATCTTTAATGGCATATAAGTCCCTAAGAATTATGAGTAGTGCACCGCTAATAACTACCACGAAAAATATTAGACCGATTTTGCCCACATATGGTGACATTTTCATAGTTTCAGGTCTCTAGAATTTCTGCGAAGTCAGTTTCATGGGCTGCTATGTGGTCAGATGTAGTTTTATTGATCTTTTGAAAAAATCAGCCAACCACCTATAATGGTTTTTTTTTTGGAAGTATTTGAAAAGTAAGTTCCAAAGAATATTGAATTAACAACTATATTTTAGAACTCATATTTTATATTCATGACATACTCGGAAAATTAAACAAATTTTTGAGCAAGTTTATTGTCTACGATTACAAGTTTCGAAAACTTGGTCTCAACATATATCGAAATTTTCAAGCGTTTTAAAAGGGAAATTAAAACATAATTTTATAATCAAGTTTTTACAATTTATTTCACTTCCCTGGTGAAAGAAAGTTTGTAGCTAAGAGTTTCAAATATTCTTGAGGGACTCTTATCTTCTTAAGAGGGAACGAATACTTGCTCAGTACTTTTAAATATTTTTGACAATTAAGTTTTTGTCAATTTAGTAAGAAAGAGATATTGACTAGTACTTGTGAAGTACACAGATTTCATAATTTATAATATCATTATTAAAAGAATACATAAATAAAGCAAAGTCAATATAGAAACCTATTGATAACCCAAAAAACGATCCCATCGAAGCTATCAAAAATGTAGATCAGAAAATAGCAAATCTCATTAAAGATACCGATTGGTTAAGGGCGGACTTTTGGGTACAGGGTACAATTATAGAAGGGCTGTAGCTTATTCTGTATTAATGGGGGCAAGGAAACCACTTTAAAAAGCAAACTCAATCTGTCCCCACCAATTATGGCGGTTTTATGCTGTAAATTAGATACGAAATACCATCAGTAAGTACTCTGTTTGAGGGTCGATTTAGTAGGCATAGCGAATGCACAAATACTCGTATACGAAATTATCAGCAAGATCAAAAAGTGAAAAATCGGTTCACATTTGTATGTATGTGGTCGGGAAAAACATATAGTAAAATTGATAGAAAAACCGTAATATCATCTATTACTAGCCATTTAAAGCATCGTATCGACAGCAAAGGCCATCTAAGGGCGCGGCGAGCGGGTGAGACCAAATATTGACGTTCTTTTTGTTTTTCTAAATTCGTAGAGATTTGTGTTTGCAAGAAATAAGTATAGAACGAGTAATTTTCCTTGTTTTGAGTTCATTTTTCCTTGCTGGAATACTCAATATAAACTGATCTAAGCAAATGTGTTTGTGTTGCTTTTAAAAATGCGAAGGCTGATCAATAAGTAAATAAATAATAGGGACGAAATTTTCCACCATTTTTCAATGTCGACTTTTTGTATGCTTATACAAGGTGCGTTCAAAAGTAAACCGGACTTTCTGAAACTAGCGCCCCCTAGTGGCGCAATCTATATGTCGACTGATGCGTTAAAGTCTGCTATCTTTATCGATTGTCCAGTGAGAATTTTATGACGTTTCATCGATTGGAAGTTAAGTTATTGCGTTTTAAGGGTCAAAATTGGTTTTAAAATTTTTTTTAAATTGGTAAAACTTTTACCGAAACGTTTCAATTGATGGAACAAGTTTATGGCGATGATTGCCTATCTCGCAGAGTGCACGAGTGGTTTCAACGTTTTCAAAGTGGTCGTGAGGACATAAATGACGATCAACATGTGGGCCAATCAAAATTCGTGATCACCGAAAATTCCATCGAAACTGTGCGTGAATTCATCAAAAATCAGCCGAAATCATCATTGAAATTGATGGAAATGGAATTGAACATCTCCGAAACATCGATTTATCGCATTTTGACCGAACATTTGGGCTTACGAAAGGTGTGTGCACGGTTTGTTCCGCACAAATTGACTGACGTCTAAAAATTGCTCAGAATCGATCGACGCTTGTGAGCGAATATTTGAGCCATTTTTTAAAGCCATTTTTTAAAGTTATTTGACTATTTCACCATTTTATTTCTTCTTTTAGCAGAAAGTCCAAGATGAAAATTCTTTGAAATCCCGAAAAATCCTCATCATTGCCGTTACGGCTGACGGAAAATAAATGATTTCGACTATCTCTTAGTCCCTAGCATCTAAAAATACAAGTATGTTAAGGTTTCGTCAACGGTGACGACTCGACGTAAAAAGTCCTGCGAATTTCGCTTAAAGCAGTAACACTGCTCTGACTTTGTTAGTCCGGCCATCGTTAGCAATTGCGGGACTGATCGGGCCGACACTCTTCTAACACCTATCTTATCATTTAACATCTTGGCTGCCACTCCATACGTGACAGCTACGGCCTTAGCCACTTCAGGCACTTTCATTCGTTAGATTTTTTTGAATCCAAAAATAAAACAAGGGGAGAAACTAAAATGGGGGTGTCCCGACTTTAAAATACTCTGTACATATGTGTAAAATAATCATAGAAATTTAAAAGAAAATAAAGAAAATTAAAATAGAAAAACTAACGAATTGTATTATTACAAACTAATTTTTTGATCGATAATATTTTTGGGTATTTGAACTCTCGTAAAAGGTGTATAACTTCTCATTTGCTTAGGAATTGTGTCTATGTATGTGAGTGTATGCGTAGCTGAGTGTTTCTGTGTGTGAGTATGTTTTAGCTATAACATCTTTTAAAATTAACCTATCGATATGAAGTTTTGTACACGGACACATAATCACTAAGTGAATTACCAAATTTGATCCAATATTTTCGGGAATTACGGGAGTTATGGGGAATCACTAATTGCCGGGGAGTAGGGAATATTAAAATATACTTAAACTGCGTAGTTATGTATAATATATATATATTGTGGGGTCTGCCAAAAAATAAAATAAACTCGTCCTTACTCGGACCTAGGAGAATCTGGATGCCAACTTTGGTTATTCTAGCTTTTATAGTTTCTGAGATCCTCACGTTCATCCATACGGACGGACAGACGGACGGACAGACGAACGGACGGACGGACGGACATGTCTAGATCGATTTCTCTCAAGAATCAAGAATATATATACTTTATGGGGTCGGAGATGCTTCCTTTTGTATGTTACATACTTTGCACAAACCTAATATGCCCTTTTTACCCTACGGGTACAGGGTATAAAAAAGAATAATAAATTATAAAAATAATTTTATTTTTGTTTTGGTGGGAATGGGTATATATGTATGTACAGCTATATCGTACGTCACTATCTGGATATAATTCCCTTCTTATTTTAGTAAAAAATCTAATCAACAATAAACAACAAATAATTCCGTCATCATATTTTTGTAAATTTTCCGCCCTGTGGCCCTAAAGAGCTCCACAAATTATAATATAGAGAACAATTTTCGTATCTATCCCCTCTTAATATATGGAATTTCAGACTAAGAATCATAAAAATTTTGTATAAAAGATAAGCCCACCAAGTATATAGTTTTAGTAGTGAAACTACACCTGTCAGCACCTGTCAGCTAATCTAAATCTTTTGGTCATTTGAAAATATATGTATAAACTTTTTGCCCATTCAGTGAATAAATTTGATGGAAATTCATAATCTAATCTTTCATAATAGCCCGTTGAAATTTCTTAACTTATCAGCCTATTAGTTCCGGAAACTATCGGCTATAGGTAATGGAAATGAACAATTAAGCATCATAAAGATAACTTAATGCTTTAGCAGGAATTTCGACATTTAAAATTTCATTAAATACAATAAACGGTGAATAAACAAGTATAAACAAGTTCCTTTGAACTGCTGAAGTAGTTGAAATTTATTGATATAGCTGTGTTTACCTCAATCTTTGAATGTCATCTTTATAGTTCCATCGAGTAGTTGAAGCGCTACAGCTTGATAAGACCTATAACTATACATATACATGTATCACAACTACATTATTTGTTAAATCAATAGAGTTTTCTGTATATATATATAGTATATACACGTATATGTTTATTTTCTAGAAAGTAGAAACGTATTTTCTGAAAGTCGCATTCAATATATATTGCAAAACAAATCAAACAAACTATATTGCTTACATGACATTGAATCAATTTACAATAGTAATAACAGATGTTGAAATTATTTGATAAACTCGTAAGTGGCATATACGAGTATTGTTATCTGGTGCTTGTACTCGTAATACTTGTAGATTAGCTTTACCATTACTCGACCTGTGCTAGTCCAAACTTGGTAGGGCTTTCAGTTCCCATTTAACGGTTGTCACTGAAGCTTATATTCACATAAACTATTAAACATTTAAATTTCCGATTGAAATTTTATAGTGGGGTTTTTTTGCGCTAAAAATTTCGCAACCCTGCTGTTTTAAAAATTTAAAATTTAAAATCTTGCAATTTTTGAACAAATATTTGAGGTACGGCTTTAACGTCTTGATGGTGCGAGAACTATTCTTATTAAAGAAAAAACATTGAAAAGTTATCGCGGTCGATGTCGAGCCTCAAGATTGTATTGTGCCCTAAAAATATTACATTGTAGGTGCTTGGTCTATCAATTAACTTTTATTAAGTGATTGAAAAAGAAATAAATAGAGTGTCGTGTAAAAGAAATTTTAAATTTCAAAGTAGCAAAGAAAGCTGAAACAAAAAATATATCATTTGAAAAGGCGGACGCTTCGGTATACGGTATATTAAGAATACGCTTAATATTATTAAATGAATTCAATGGGCGCATTTACCAGGTGATTTCGAATCGTGATACTTGTATGTGATTAATAATTGCTGGCTTTACCTGGTGAAAGCTGTAATTTGTGATTGTGATTAGTAAATGTTAATTCGTTAATTCAATTAAATATAAAATATTTAACACATGCATACAGTCATAAGTGTTCAGGTACAATTTCAACAGCATAGATTTACATCAGAATCGTGTCTATGCCTGCTTGTATGCAGTAAAAAAAATTAGTCAAAGCAGCAACCCCTGCCGGCAGAGCTTGGGCAGATATTATGTTTATGGCTATAACTTTCTTCATAATTAACCTATCGTGATGAAACTTGGCACACAGACACATAATCACTATACGGATGTATTTGCCAAATTTGAGTAAATTTCAAGAAATACGGGAGTTACGGGAATTATGGCAAAAACACGAATTGCGGGGGAGTGGGGGTTTGTATCAGAAAAAAACACAAAATCGGACTTAGGACAATCTGGATACCGAGCTTGGTTATTCTTGCTCTTGTACTTCCTGAGATCCTTGCGTTCATACAGACGGACGGACGGACAGACAGACGGACATGGCTATATCGACTCGCCTTGTCATCCTGATCAAGAATACATATATATACTTTGTGGGGTCTGACACGCCTCCTTCTCTGTGTTACATACATTCGCACAAAACAAGTATAGCCTTTCACCCTTTGGGTACAGGCTATAAAAATAAATGAAATGACAATATTTTTACCCTTCAGTAATCATAGCCATTTAACAGAGACTAATCATCATCGGCAATTATAATTTACAAATCGAAATTACCAATTTAGTCATTTTTATGTAATAAATACTTAGCCTGATAATGACGGGCCTGATAGTAACAATACTTTTTCTACTCTGCACATTAAATGTACAGAAGTATATTAGGTTTGCGGGAGCTGAAAAATGTAACAGGCAGAAGGAGGCGTGGCAGACCCCACAAAGTATATATATTCTTGATCAGTTTGACGAGACGAGTCGATCTAGCCCTGTCTGTCCGTCTGTCCGTCCGTATGAACACCTGGATCTCAGAGACTATAAGAGATAGAGACACCAAATTTTTCACAAAGATGCCTTATGTGTGTATTCTATACGAGTTAGTTTTTTTTTTTTTATTACCCTCCCCCCCCCCCCCCCCCCCACTTCCCCCCTATGGGGGTTTTCCCGATTTTCCATTCGTATAATCGCCTATATCTCGGAGACTATAAGACCTAGGAACACTAAATTTTAGTCCCAGATCCCTTATGTGAATACGCAGAAAATGTATATTTTGGAATTTCCCTCCCTCCCCCCTCTCCTCCTCAAATCGTAACTCCCGTAATTCTTACAATTTCGAACTGAAATTGGAAATACCCCCAGTTGGTTATTATGTGTCCGTGTGCCAAGTTTCACTATGATAGACCGATTTAACAAGAAGTTATAGCCATAAATATATTTGCTGCTGCAGCGCTGCTCAAGCGCTGCCCGCGGCTGTTGATGCTGGTGCTTTGGTTGACTGCACACATGTTTACACAGACAAAAATTGATGCGCATAGGCATACATACACTCACACAGACGCTATTGCTATGTAAATGTGCAATTATACACCCTTTACGTGAGTTCGAATACCGAGAAAGGTAAAATCGATCAAATTTGTTTTTTTTTTTTAATTTTCTTTTTTTTTTCTATAATTATTGTACATATGTACAGAGTATTTCAAAGTCGGGACCCCCGACTTTAGCTTTTTTACTTATTATATACAAGTGTTTAGTTTGTATTGTTTCATAAAAAAAAGTCTATCATTGTTTGATTCAGTAAATATAAAATAAAGTAGATAACAGTTCACTTAAATTTTCCAAAAATCTATAATAAGAATTCCGCAATTATGGTGATAGGAAATACTGAAAACCAAAGATCAACTGTTATAATTATATATTAAGAACGCTGCTGATATGGCATTGAACTTGTCATGAACGATTAAAATTCGTTGCTTGACACGCTGAGAACAAAAGCATTGTGGTTAAATCCTCAGTTATTCTGGCCTTTAAAAAATTGGTAGAGACAAATTATTTGAAAATGTCATGAACATTAAATAGAAACAGTGATCCATTTCTATATAAAAATGTAGGGCTTTTGCAGCTGCCTTTAAAATTGATGAATGATTTGCATTTTTTGCATCAATTCAGTTATACTTGTAGTACAGGTATTTTAAAAAATTCACGTTCTTTTGGCTAACTTCCACCAACAGTCTCTGACGTTAAGAATAAAGAGCCTGCTGAGCATAAAGGCAAGCAATTTCAATTAGTATGTCTTATCAAAAAACCCATTTTATGACCCAATAAAGACTAATACACCTTGGCAGACGTTCAGACTATTTGGGAAAAATATAGTAATTTGGCATTGTTGAATTGACTGACTGACGCAGCAGACTTATCAGCACGGAGCTCCACATAATTTTGGGTGGAAATACACGTGCTTGGCTATCGAAGTTAGAAATGGGAAACCATTTGTGACCGCATTTGCATTTATTGCGGGTAACACAACTCTTCAACGTGGTTATACTTGTACATACAAGTATGTAATAGTTTTGTGGAATAAGTGCAGTCGCGCTGAAGCTATTACAAAAGTAACTCTACAATTTGCACTTTGCAGTTCTTGTGTTCCATATACTATACGCGTATGTAACTAATCCTCGAAATGGCATTATACGCCATGTGCAACAAACGGTACTTGCGTGTGTGGCCTCTTGCGGTGCTCCTGTTGCTGACCTTGGTGCTCGTCCTCCACAACCTGAAACAGGCGCTTCTTTTGAATCAGAACACCTATTGGATGCAAGAAGCGGAGATGGCCCCGCCGACAGTTTCTCCGCGCACAATTCGCTTGTTCGAGTTCCTTAACTGTACGAATCGTCCTCTGCGCCTCCAGCGCCTCCAGCATGGAGACTACTGGCTGCTTCAGAACTTGGTGGTTGGCCAAATAAGTCGCCACATGGGCTGCGCCGAGTCCATAACCCTCACAACCAATGCAGATTACACATTTTTCGACAACTTGGAAATGCTGGTACAGCGGTAAGTGGCGTTGATAAAACAGCGTGGAAGCTGACAGTTCGGGGTCACTACAATTCGATGTGAATGGTGTGGAAAAAATATAATGTCGATCATATTATTGAAATGAAAATAAATTAAATACACTGCTCTCCTCGTTCATAAATGGAAGATTGAATTTTGTCTGATTCGACATTTCGAGAGCTTTCCATTTTCGTGCTCTGAAAGTCCTGTTCCTATACTATATGTATATATGCTACATTTAGTTTTGGGGAACTTTGAAACACCCAATTTAAGTGTTCTATTCAGAGTATAATTTAAAATGGGTGGCGTTTTGAAAATCTGAATCAGCAAAAGCGACAACAATAAACAAACCTCTTTAGATAACAATATTTATCATTTGATTTTAATTTCACATTGATTTTGTCTTCACTTTGTGATAACGCCTTCAAAGAAAATATATACAAGTATATACGTGTATTATTCAAATGTTTATTTATCCAGTTCGAAAGAGAGAGACAGTTCAATTCACTTGTCATAAAAGCTTTTGATTTTGGAAATGTTATGCACTATATTCCTGATATGTAGAAAGTGAATAAAAATGTGTGTCTTATCTTCTTCTAGTTGGTTGGGACCCATCAGTTTTGCTATCTTTGCGCCCGGTCGTGATGTCAACGACACTCTAGATGCCATTCAATATGTACGCAACTGTCTGCCCAGTAGCGACCTGATCAGAGACTATGTTACCTTCCACATATACTTTCCAAATGGCCATATGCCCACCTACGTACCCTATGATGAAGCTGAAGCGCTGACTTGGCCCTACAAGTGTTTTTGGGCCAATGGGAGTGTCGCATCGCCGCCGTATTTGAACCGGGAGGGCGGGGAGACGTACAGAGTGCAGAAGAATCTCACATATCCCATCAATGTAGGGCGAAATATTGCTCGGAAGGCCGCCAATACGCATTTCATATTTGCCAACGATATTGAACTCATTCCCAGCACGGGAATCGTTGATCAATTCCTGGACATGGTGGATCGGAATCATAGCGTCTTAGCATTGGACCCGAAACAACCCAGACGAGTATTTCCATTTCCAGTTTACGAGTTGCAACAAAATGAAAGCGTTCCAGCTGAAAAGGCTGAGCTGTTAACGCTTCTTAAGCGCAAGGGGGCACAAATATTCCATTCCTTAGTGTGTGCCCGTTGCCACAGAGTGCCAGGGCAACAAAAATGGTTGCAGAACAATCCAAACATTACCAATGAGTTACAGGTTATAAGTGTGGGACTTCGCATGGGTCCGTTTCGCACATGGGAACCATTTTATGTGAGTGACAATACAGAGCCGCTGTTCGACGAGCGTGTCACCTGGGAAGGACAATCGAATAAGCGTATACAGGTGAGTGCTCTGACTATATGTACTATAACCCAAACATTTCCCATTTTACTATCCGCATAGGGCTATGCTATGTGTCTGCTGGGGTACGAATATCATGTGCTGCATCCCGCTTTTCTGGCCCACAGTCCGGGCATTAAAAAACCTCCCACCAGCAAATCTCCTCGACTCAAGTATGCGCGAGAGATGACACGATTTATAAAGTCGAAGATCGAGCCCGAGTACAGAGTACTCTTTGGAAACAGGAAAAATTGTACGACGTGACACTTCTTTATGATTTTAACTAGTATTGTTAATTTAGTTATTGTTGTGCTCTTTATTTAAGTCCAATTTGAATCTAAAGGTTTCCTTTTTATGGACCTCACTAATGGGTTCCTGAAAATACTCGTCATTCTCAGGGTTCACTCAAAACAGAGATATATATTTTAGTTAAATAAATAAATAAAGTATATACATATTGTGCCCAACGTCTACAGCTTCCACGTATTACTTGTATGTAAAAAGCTAAGGTGGTAATAGATCTGCTCAAAATTAGGTCTTGGTTTTTGAAGTTGTCCACCAAATAAACTAAATATATCTTGGACATACAAGTACAACAATTCTTAGACAAAGAAGGCATCTGCAATGCCATCTGGAAGGGAGCAAACAAACAATTGAGCGTATATTTCTATCAGGAACCCACCTAGGTCGTTCCTTGATTTAGAAAAAACAAAGCTTTAACACCTACGCGCCCCTTTATGCCAATATAAACTCCAAGCTTTCCTTCACTCAAACCCCTACAAAGGCCTCGTAGAGAGGCACCAGCACAGAGCACACAAAAGACTCTTCTCTGGCCCTTCCTAGCCAGCAATTTAGCAAGCTCATTATTTCCTTTACTCAAAGGACAATCAGCTACCCATGTCACTTACAGCCACAAAGAGCGATTGCCCTCTTACACTAACTCATCCATCTACCTAAACCTATCGATTTAGCCATGGATGTTCTCACAACCGTTAGAAGAGTCAATAAATGAAGCGACATTAGTCAGGTTCTATAAGGATCGGAAGCAAATGTAATGAATACTTAACTGTCAGTGTCAGTGTCGAGTGAGTTGTAATTTACGTAAATAATTCAAACTACTCTACAAAATATAATATTCCAACAATTTAAACACCGCACCGCCCATATAATGTGCAATACGCGGAGGCTGGTTGTGTTTTTGGTGATAGTATGTCTTCTGCCGCTCACTATTATTCGTATCATGAGAGAAAGCTATCTGGACGTGCCTTCGCAGTATTCGCTGTTCAGAGATATTATATCAAATGATAGCTTCCAATCCCTCACGCTGAGGCAGTTACTTAAGTGCAATGACCGACCTCTTTTGATGAAACGTTTTCGCCGGGGAAAGTACTGGATAATGGAAAATGTGGTAGTTGGAAGAAAAAGTCGACATATGGGCTGCGCCGATTCCATTACCTTCACAACCCATGGGGACTACAGCTTCGTCGACAGTCTGGAAACGCTGGTTGGACGGTAATATCTTTGCAATTTTGGTAGCTTAGATATCCAGCCTATTTTTAAAAATTACTCTCAATTCGTTTAGCTGGCTGGCGCCCATCAGCTTGGCCATATTTGCGCCAGGACACGATATAATTGCCACGTTGGAGGCCATTCAGTATGTGCGGAACTGTGTGCCGAAGTCCGATCTCGTCTCGGACTTCGTTACCTTCCACATTTACTTCCCCTATAGGCATATGCCTGAGTATGTTCCCTTAAATGAGACCGAAGCACTAGAATATCCGTATTCGTGTGCAGCGACCGATATAATCTTTGGAAAGCCTTCCAACATGAATCGCCCCCGCGAGGAGATGTACAGATTGCAACAAAATCTATCCTACCCCATAAATGTTGGTCGAAACATTGCCCGCACGGCGGCCAACACTCATTTCATTTTCGCTTGCGACCTGCAGCTCTTTCCCAGCCTGGGGTTTGTTGATCAATTCCTGGACATGGTGGATCGAAATCATAGTATATTGTTACTGGATCCCAAAACGCAGCAACCACGCGTTTATCCTGTGCCTGTTTTTGAGCTGCGCAATAACGAAAGCCTGCCCAACAATAAAACCGAGCTCTTGGAGCAGTATAAACGGAAAGGGGCACAAATTTTCAAATTAAACCTATGCGAAATTTGCCATAGGGTGCCCGATCAAAAGCGTTGGCTGAGACGAAATCCAAACCTAACGGACGAGCTGCAGGTATTCAGCGTAAGCACGCGGACGGGTAAGTTTCGATCCTGGGAACCATTCTATGTAAGCGACAATGCGGAGCCACTGTTCGACGAGAAGGTATCCTGGGAGGGTCAGTCTAGCAAGCGTGTCCAGGTGAAATGATTCAACCGTACCTCTAACAAAGTAATTATTTTGAGATCCGTAGGGTTATGCTATGTGTCTGCTGGGCTACGAGTACCATGTACTGCACCCGGCTTTTCTTGTCCACACTCCGGGCTTTAACGAGCAGCTATGGCGAAATTCTTCTCAATTCCAACATACACGGCGAATGAATAAGTACATCAACCAAAAAATTATACCTGAATATTTGAAATTTTATGGAAGAAATGAAAAATGTGCAATCTGATATTTATTAATAATGATTAGTTTAAGTTGTCACTAATAAATATTGAAACTAAACTAACGAAATAAATATTGTTCTTTATCAATGGAAGTATTAAGTTATGCCACACTCAAAAGTGAAGATGAATAGAAGGCTAAATATATGCCGACGAATCAAAAATCAAAGAATATATTTGCCATTTGTGATCAATAATAAGTTCAAGAAAATAAGGAAATGACAAATTTGTTTTGATATTTCATTAGGAAGGAAAATAACTTAAATGAATAAATGTGCGGATAAAGTGGCTGTTAAAAATTTAGTAACCTCGTTTTATAAACATACAAAACACCAACTGTTTTCCTCTCTATATTCTATTTTATACTTTGCATCTGAAAAGTAAACACTTCTATAGGGTTTGGGAATGGTTTGTCATGGCGAGAAGAAACATTTCCAGTTGATTTGTTTGTCTGGATGAACATCTGCTTTTGGTAAACAATTCGATTCAAGCGTAAAACTAATTTGTTTTATTATTGTAGTCTGCTCTCTAAATGATGTCTAGACTACCAAACAAGAGCCAGATTACATAAAATGAACTCAGGAAAACAAAATGGACTATTTAACGAAACTCTTACTAATTTTGGAGAAGAAATGCAGGATATTGCTGCCGTCGAAGAAAATAATTCTTTGAAGAGAGGAATATTCAGGTTGTGAAGTGACCTGCCAGAAATCCAGAAAGAATCATTGGAGTATCCATTCCAACAACATTGAATGCTGCTTGAAATTATTAAAAGAAGCAATAGTAGTAGAGTGGCCAAAACTGAATTAAAAGTTGGATAATTTAGAGCTAGATCGCATATTAAGAGTAATTAATTGTAATCTGGAATTTAGCGCCAAAAACAGAGGTATGATAGAAATCTCACTATTAGAAATGTATCGTATATCTTATATCGTTCGTTAAAATATAGAATTAGTTCGGTTCCTGAGAAGTTCAGGAACAGCTACTTATTTACCAAAACATTTTTATGGCAGCACCACATATTTTCTTTCCTCATTGGCTTCTTGTATGGTTAGGGTATTTGACAGTCGCCTAGTTTGATTAAAACATTTTCTCTTGCTATAATGTTACGCCATGCTATGTTAAGTTTTACACTTTCCTAAAAATGTGTAGCATTTAGAGCTTTAAGCTTTGAACCCAAAATCCAACGCTAGATGGCGCCTGTACAATTATTAAGCGAACGCTTTTCGTATTTGTTTTTAAAATGCTCAAAGGTACATATGTAGTTATACTCTGTACATGAAATGTAAGTACAATAGTATATAAGGTTTGCGGGAGGTGTAAATGTAACGTGGCAGACCCCTCAAAGTATATATATATGCTGATCAAGAGCATGACAAGACGAGTCGACCTACATATAAATGAGCAATTATACACCCTTTACGTGAGTTCGAATACCGAGAGAGGTAAAATCGATTAACATTTTTTTTTTTAATTATCTTATTATTCTAAACATATGTGCAGAGTATTTCAACCGATTTTAGATTCTTTACTTGTTTTTTTCTATAAAAGCTTTAAGTGTATTTCATTTAAGCTGAATAAATTTTAAAAATACTATATACATTTAAATTGACATAAGCACTAAATATATTTGAATTTTATTTAAATGTACAATCCTTTGTTGAGGCAATGTACCATAATTGCTTATTTATGAGCTCCTGGCGCTGAAAGTATTCGGATAAATCCTCCTCACCACCTTTCATATCGGAATCGTCTTGGCAGCTTTTGGTTTCTGAAATGTGCCACCACTTCGGCGATGTTTTATCAAATAGGCGGGCATTATTTAGGTTGGGTTTCAATGGATCCGACCCATAGTATTGCTTGTAGCGATCGCTGTGAACCAGCACTAGTATTTGCACGAAGGCCATTAAAGTCAAGATGTTATAAATAATAAATACTGTATGCAGAAATTCCATATTAAAAGATTACTAATAATAATAGTATTATTTACCCAAGTAACTGCTGCCGATCAGAGAGAGTAATATCAGTGTGCCCAAACCTACAAAATGCTGGTTAATATTTAAAAATATAGCGAGCGCAATTGTGCAGTAAACAAAAGCACTAATCTCGGAAATGATGAAAGGTACCACATGCCACATTTTTAGCTGAAAGTGCAAAAGACCTAGAAATTATAATACAAATAATACAGAAATGACAACTATATAGTAGAGCTGCAAACTTTGTCAATATCGAGGCTTTCATTTTTTAATAGTTATCGATCAAAAAAAGTAGGTAAAAAAGGTCAATATGCACGTAATTTATTCTTTTTTCCAGAATGGCTTTGATCTATTTGTATACCTTGTACCCATATAAGAGCTAGACGGACGCAACTAGGGATACAGGTCCGATACAGGCGGACATGGCTATATCGGCTCGACTTGCCATGCTGATCACATACTTTCTATATTATCGATAATGCCTTCAATACTTTACCGAAGTGTCATTTACATTTGACAACTATACACCTAATTCTGTTTGTACACGGTAGATTGGTTCTTGAAAAAACCGCGTAAACAAAAATATCTCTAAAACCTACTAAAATTAGTGAGAATTTTATTTATGTACGTAAAACAGCTATGTTGTTAACAAAGGAAATAGAAATTTAATTGCTGTCATTCGAATTCGCTTGCTTCGTATGCGTATAAACTATCACTAACATTGCTGAAATAATTTTGAACTCGACTTTCTCGATGCTCGATCGGCATCTACATTTTGAACCGTGAATTCTGTTTTGAGCCGTTGTTGGCCAATTGTTGCTACCTCTTTCTATAATTCTTTGTAACGAACCATACAAGAGTGGTTTCTAGCTGTTTGTGCTTCTATTTATTTGTGTTGTGTTATCTTGAATCGTGCTAAATGTAACAATTTTCAAACCGTGTTAAATCAAAACTGCGTAAAAACAGAATTAGGTATATAGCACATATCAGGATAACGTATGGGTTGGGGGCAGGGTATAACGTTTAAAATGCTTACCTTATAAGCACCATAAGCTGCCGATATGCAACTCAAATTATATGCAATGTTAAGCAGCTGGGTTACCCACAAGACCATATCGGGGTCTGAAAGTACATTTTACGTTTAATTAGGAGCAACAGAATCGTATCTCATGAGCGCATACTTTCCTTCGCATAGCATGTGCTACGGCGTATTACTTCGTTGTCCATATAATATTTATTGTTTTGTAGCGCTACAACAACTTCAAACATAATACTAGTCCCAGCAGTGAAGACGACAGCCATAAACGTTATTGACAGGAGCTGAAAATGATCAAAAATGTTTTCAAACCATATCTCCTTCCATCCCATTCCATCGTCCAGCAAATGAAATAAACTTTATTGGACCCATCGTTCTTACTGCAGGGATTTCAATGAAATGATGGCAATGCAAATATTCAATAATAATTTCAGTTAAATTATTCCGATAAGCCAAATTGTTTTTCGTACTAGTGGTGATGTTTTTAGGGTTCCCCTATGGCCTATTAAAAAAAAAAACACTTGACTTTCATTACCAAAGTTTCATATAATTTGAATTTTTATCAAAGAAATTGTTAGTTTTTAATGTAAACATAGCGCCAAAACAAATAGAAAATGCTTTTCAAACTTTGAAAAATAACTTGGCATTTGGTTAACTCATAAAATACATCTGAGTATGTAAAATATTAAGGAAATAACATAACTCTACAAGCCACGTTTGGTGTCCAAAGCTATAGTTCAAAAGTTATCGATGTTCTTAAGGATGAATAAAAGAACAGACGGAGGTCGGACAGATGATACTTTTATATGTACATACAGGGCATACAAAGACCTCTGTGTGGTTTTTTATAAGAAAGTAAATTTAGTATTAACTCACCATTGACATTCCAGCAATAAATAGCACTCCCAATCGCACTGAGCAGCAATACATATACGTCTTCATGAGAAGCATTTCGAAGAGGCAATGCGCCTCAAAAATCGTGTCGTTGTGAACTCCATGGCTGCCGACTGAAGAATGACAAATGTTTGTCATCCAAGTTGCATTCAAATCAAATGCTATATTATATAGTAGCAGTATACGTATATTATTCAGATAAGCATCTTGTACATTGTTATGCTTTTTGTGCTTTTGCCTGCGCCTTAATTGTTCACCTTTTGTGTTCGGCCCCAACAATTTTCCAAGCGTTTATACTCAGTAGTCGTGCAGAGTCGATGATTTTGGTTAGTTGCCGTTTCGAGTAATGAGTAATACTTAAAAATAATGGAATACCAATATGTTGTTTATGGAGTCCTATGTTTGCTATTGCTCCGTGCGATTAGGTGTTATCATCGTGGGTTTGCTCAGCATTGTGAGTCTAAACAACTATGATGGTTTTCGATTCCAAATAATGTGGAGTGTAATTTATTTTTCATAAGGTCAGAAGCCTGGTACTCAGCATCGTCCTGTTCGTACAGGGTGTGCAAATATTTGAGCCCATTATCGATTTACTGGAACATGATGGGCAATATAAAAACAACAAATGGGTGCGAAAGGGTATCGGTTGGGTGGAACGAAGTAAGTAGCAACGAAATAAAACCCACTCTTCAAATTGAAAACTGAGATTGCTTCAAATAGTTGAACTATAGACATTTTTTTCAATTATAGTTCAGTAAGTTCATCTACATAACACACTTAAAAAAATGAAATTTTTAATTGGGTAACGAAGAAAAAATAAGCTCTAAGGAGAGTCGAGTTAATCGATCTACAATCGATATATATTTTAAATTCATTTATAGAAGAGAATGTTTGTGTTTTCTTTGTAGATGTATGACAAGTTTTTTAGTATTAATCTCAGGCTATTAGTTGGCTGCATTTCAAGCTCGCGATTAAGTTTGAATGAACACTAAGACATCAAGGTCATAACTTGGTAGCTGGCTTAGAACTTATTAAATATCTGCTCATAAGAAATAATTGATAGTAGTCCCGATAGAAGCAATACCATATAGCAAGAATAATTGAGCCAAAAAGAGGCCGTGTCAGACTATAGGTATACTTGTATCAAATCTGGAGTTCTTAATACAAATCGATAAATATTGAGACTTGATTTGGTTTGCAATTGCATCGGAGCAGCCAGTCCTCAAAATGTGAAATGTGGTTGTGAAAAGGACGGGCTCTATTGTGGTTTCAAAATTCGAGCCCTAACAAGATTTTGCTCTCTTTTGCAGCGCCTGAGAATGTGCTGATTTTTATGCAGGTTATATGCTATGTGAACATCGTGGCCGCTCTTCTGGGTATACTAGGTGCTATCAAGGTATGTTTTATGATTAGTCGTCATCACATATATTGTATATACTATATACCTGAGTACATATATGTGTTGAATTTGCAGCTTCAGAAATGGATTATTTTACCCTTGGCTCTCTACGAGTTTGTCTTCTTCCTGTCCATGACTAGCGGGCATATTGTGTTCATGATTATGCTGAAGAAGGTTATTAATTTGGGACTTCTCATAGTCTTGACGCTGGTGGGCAGTTTCGTTTTGCGTGAGTAATGGGCCTGGTTATCAAATAATTGTAAAGCTATCACTCTCTCTATATTTCAGTGTTCTTTGGCTATAACTGCATCACCTGTCTGGCCATGTTTCAGATAATAACGCTGGTTAAGAGCACACGCTATCGTGAGCTCTACGGCAATGATCCTTTCCATCCGTTGAGCCTGAGCACTAACTCCAAAGCCAGCTCCGTACAGCAGTTGCAGTTTTATTCGACACCAGATGACACCGACATCGATGAGCAGAAGCGATTGGCCAGACTGGGTCAGTGGCCTCGTCGTCAGCCGCCCCCCACGCAGGTAATATCGGTCATACCTGTGGGAACCGAGTCCAGACACATGGCAGCTCCCCAGCTGAAGTGGTGGCAACAACAAGCACTCGATGTGGACGACAAGATGCTCGATTCCGCCATTTATCGCAACTGGCAGCGAGACGAGCTCCTGCGCGGCGTGGGGGGCGAGGTGGAGCGTAAGAATGCCCTGAATAAGCAATACGGCGAACATTGGCGTCGATATTGAAGGAATCGAGCTGAAGTAAAAGTGACTTGACTTACTTTCCTCTAACAACTAATTCAATAAAACTTCGATTCCACTTTGCGCTCAAGCGTACCCCAAAAACCTTAGACAACTATTTACATGTTTCTAGCACCCTTACCGCGCAGCATTTTATTTTTCGGGCTACTTTGCATAAACGACACTACAGATTATGCAACTGTCTTGGGTTGTCAGGCTGAACGAACAGCACAGACAACACGCGCAGCACACTTTGCATATCCTGCAGGAAATGGTTGGGAGGCGGGGCCAGGGGACGGGGGACGGGCCTCACAACTACTTACAAATGCTTTTTGCATTCGAGAGCTAAAATGCACAACGTCAAGATAAAAGCAGAAAGGGAGTGCGACGATGATAAGAATATCCGAACGCTAGAATTTCGCAAGCCCGACTTTTGCATACCCTATAAATCTACTCATTAAACTAAAATAAAAGTTAAAATTAAAAATATCTTGAAAAATAAATTAATCTTTGATCTCTTCTACTTATATGATGGAGTTAACTGATTTTGATTGCATTCTTAATTTTGTCTGGGCGCTTTAAAGAGCACGTATTGGTAATATTTCTGGCAGCTTTATATTTATACTTGCAAAATCATTGTAAGATATGATATTAAACAAATAAGTTTTCTACTAAGAGAGATTCCATGACAGCTTTATGAAATATTGTAACGATAAAAAGGTACTGCGTAAGTTCTATTGAATGAAACAAAATAACAAAACTGGTGCAAAGACTGCTTCTTGCTACGATACTCTTATGGCAGCTATTTGATAAATTGCAGCGATTTTCATGAAACTTCTTAGTATGGCGAGAGATTAACATCATTATAAATATATATTGAGGCTTTCTTATTTTTTAAAGTGAAAATTCAAAAATCAAAAAATTTAAGCAAATGTTTGCAGTAAGACAGATGTCGGCGTGGATCGTTGCTACGTGAGCTACTACTTGTATATATAAAACAATTATCTTATATATGCATTAAAAAAATCCTGATCTGCGTATGTATGGATAAGACCATCGCACACGAAAGGACAGTCGATCATGGTGCTACTTATATATATCTCTCCTGATCGCATGTATGTATACCCGTGACATGTGGACTGCCTTCGCTCTGTTACATACACTATGAACTTCCTTTAATACCCTTTCATCCTTTGGGTACCGCATATAAAAGGGAGAGCAAAAAAAACGTTGCTGGACTATTGTGCAGGCAAACGAAAAATCAAAGTGTCTAACAATTGTGCAAAGTCTTGGCGACGGACGCAATGGAGCGTGCTAGGAGTAGCTGAAGAGAGCTGAGAAGTGTTGATGGTGTTTCAGACGACGCAGACGATACTGTCAATTTTTTGCAGTCTGTCTCTTCCACGCACAAAAACCCATCAAGAGCCACCCGCAGACAAACTGGTAAGGACTTGCCTATAAAACGTTGCACATTTCTAGGCCAATTCTCTCTCTCTGTCTCTGTCCCTGTCTCTCCGTCCACCCTAGAGATCTCTTATGTAGTGTTGACAGTTGCATCGACTGTGGTTGCAACTTTGGCACTAATTTAATTAAAACTTTTGGCCAAACAACAAAAGTCAATCAGTTGCTTTGCTCACCCGTCTGCCATTTCACTCAGTTGGTCAGCAGAGACCTCAACCAAGCACCAAGCCATAATTGTTCTATATAACAATTTTGCACACCCCCCCTCTTTCCGCCCAGTTTTACAAATACATATATACACACACACACACACCTACACACACATGGAGTGAGTCAGTCTGGATGACATTTAGAAGGCGCTACGTGTCGCTGATTATCTTCCGTGTGCTTAGCAGCGGATTAGCTTGCCCGAAAAAGGAGCAACGCAGAACAGCTCCGAGAGCACGTGGCATCATCTGACACTTTCTTAGGCCAGCCAACCAGCAAACTTTCTGGGCGACACGTATCCGGGGTAGCTGGAGTATATATCTGAAGGGGCTAAGCGACGTCACTTGAAAGTTGAAATGTAGCTGGATTTGGCAGCTAAGCCGCTGTAAGATTTTAATTCAATGTACGTGGTGTGGAGGCGAAATAGTGAAATGTTCTTGACTTTGTGCTAAAGATTGTATAAAGTATGGCCTAAATACTCGTACATATTATGGGGGGAGTTCGTTATGCTTACGGACTAAATTGGCTATTTTGCGTGCCAAAAATGAGAGACTTTGCAAATATTTGATTCATAAATTATTTAATTCATGAAATTACATTTGCTTTTATTATATTCCAATCAAGTTTCTTTTCCAGTTTCTTTTATTCTATTAAAATTCCAAAAATAATATATAAGGCCAGGTATTCGATGGCTCCGAACGTTCTTTAAAATAATGTCGTTATGTTCATCATCATCTTTTATAAAATGATTGGTCATGTATGAAACATTCTCAGTTCAAGTTTAATGTTAGTAAATGTACAGTGTTTTATCGACGATTCTTTAAAGAGCCTGCTTTTATGATTTGGAGCCACAACTTCGTTTTCGTCAATTCGACAAGCCCAGTTCTTAAAGCTACTCATGTATCTAAGTATAATCCAGATGCTTGACAATTCGCAGACATGATATAAAAGGAAAAGGAAAGGCAAAGAAAATATGAAAATATGAGGTATTCTTGTCAGTAAAAAAGTGATTTCGAACAATTCTGGGGATTCATAAATTATAAACGGGTTAATAGGCGACTGAAATGAAAGATAATTGATAATATAATGATTGGGAGACAAGATTTGCTCTTTTAATAAACAGCGCGACAGTCTTAATTTTCAGTACCTTTTGCAGCTTAGAAACATCTATATAAACATTGTTTTACGTTTCTTTCTTTTCGTAAGTAAGATTTTACTGAAAATATATTTCTATTGTTAAATAAACTGTGTATTATTGTTATTGGCCTAAGCTGATCAATATTTTAATTACCTAACTAGCGTCACAGCCTTAAGGATGTGATATTAGCTAATGGTCCTTGCTCTTTGCTTACGCATCTTTTGCCCTTTTAACAGTTTGGTTATGACGTCAAGACCTCGATCCAATTCAAGGCGTAAGCTATCATATATCTCAAAATCAGTTAGCACATCGATCTTCTGATCCAGCTCGTTGGCACCCAAATCAATAGATTTGATCACGTTGTTCAGCATGCGTACGAACTCGACATCTTTCTCAAGCTCGGGAGGTATATCTATATATTTTTTCACAATGCGCCTCAAGCGTTTAGTGATATTTCTGTCCAGTCGCTTAAACTCTTCCATATAATCGATCACGATCTGCTGTGCATTTTTAGAGTCAACTGGGAATATAGGAGGCTTTTTCATTCACAATCTATATTATCTATATAATATTGTAACTATATGTCTACTTACTCGACTCGAAACTCAGCAAGAGTACCACCAAAAGCAATAACAACATATTCAGCTCATTTATTTAAACAAGCCAATACCAAACTATGTAAATGTCTAAAGCAATCTGGTGGCAGTATTGATGTATGATAAGTATACCCATTGCCAATTCGAAACCACTAAATTGAGTTGACTGGAACTAAAAACGTTAGCAATGCCTGGAGCTGCTATTTTGGCCTTAAAGTTAAAAAGAATGTTGGCTGGCTTCATACTCATTTACTCTATTTATTTATACTTTGTAAGCCTCTGTACAAAAAGCTGAAATTTATATAGCAAACGTGTGATAAGCCGTAGTTCCAATATTAAATCAAAATACCATCTTGCTTAAATATTGAATTCTAGAATTTTATATGATCTGTGTTTTTAAAAAAATGATGGGAATTTTAGAACATTGATTTATTTTGCGTACATATCTGTTTAAATTTTCTTCAATTTCCATAATAATTTTTTTAATTTTCGGGCTCAACATTTTAATGTTCATGAACGCCAAGGGAATTGTAGGTTTGTGGAAAATGATAAATGTACTACACAATACAAAATCTCAGGGACTATAAGAAGCAAGGACATGAAATTTTCTTCCGTCCTCCCACTCCGCTGATATTAGTGATTTTATCATTCCGGTAATTCTTGGAATTCTCACTCAAAATTTGCAATTACTTCCTTTTAGTGTTTAACATATGGGTACGTCAAGTTTTATCAGTGTTTTTTTTTCCAACTTTTAATGGTAGGTATATCAAAGTCGGGGCACCCGACACTAGCTTTTCCACTTATTTTCAGTTGAAGTTTTTATTTAGAGGAAGGTTTTGTCTAAAAAATCATACTCCCCAAATCTCTCAATTTTTGTACCTTTTACTCATCTACTGTTTGAGATATTTGTGTTCATACAGATAAACTGATAGGTCAGGTTATATGGTCAGGTAGAATGTAAAAACAAAACAAAAAGTTCAAGAAATATTTATATTTAATTAAAAAATTCTTTCCTATTTTAGAATCAGTGCTCTTAGAATTTAGAAAACGCATTTTTATGTAATATGATGTGTGTCCGCTTTTCTGGAAAAAAATCTGTATTTATCTTCGGAAAATGGGATGAGATTTTATGTAAGAGAGGTTATGTAATGGCTATTTTGATGAATATTCTTCGTAGTAAGACATAGTACCCGAAGGGTAAGTACATAATGTTGAAACAGTCCGACTCTATGTCCCACAACATGTAGCATATTTTTGGTTTAATTAGTTTTATTAAATGTTATTATACTCTGTACATGAAATATACAAGAGTATATTAGTTTGCGCGAGCTGAAAAATGTAACACGCAGAAGGAGGCGTGGTAGACCCCACAAAGTATATATATTCTTGATTCTGTCTGTCTGTCTGTCTGTCCGTTTGTCCGTCCGTCCGTCCGTATGATCACCTAGATCTTCTCGTATGCCAAGTTTCACTATGATAGACCGATTTAACAAGAAGTTATAGCCATAAATATATTTGCTGCTGCAGCGCTGCTCAAGCGCTGCCCGCGACTGTTGTTGATGCTGGTGCTTTGGTTGACTGCTTACTGTCGGGCTTGCTCGACTGTAGCGTTCTATTTTTTTTTTATTGACTTTGTGTTCAAAACTTCGGTCCACTCGACTCTTGCATTCCTCTCTAGTGTCTGATTGCTGCTTGTTGGAATTTAATTGCATAATTCGTAGTTATTTTATTTTGATTTTACACTTTATGTTTATTTTAAAAGTTAAACAAAGAAATTATAGTAATTTTCACACACACAAGCTTAAAGTTATTTACGATTTTTGTAGTTAATTAAAAAACATTTGAGAACTCATATGGTTGGCAAATGGTGCTCGGTGCGATGCAACATCGCAGCATTTTTGTTCAGAGGCTGAAGCTTCGCATATTCCTGATGCGGATGATGGTGCTGCGTGCTGGGCAGCAGTGGCAATGAGGTGTTTGAAGTCTGCCGACAGAAAGAGTTATGAGTAAAGCACAATATATGTATGTAGGTATATACGTCTGTGTATATGAAGAGCTTGTACCTTTGATTTATCACGCGCCGCTGCCACGGCTGCCGCCTGTGCTGCGCCGGTCTGAAGTTGCAGTTGTTGTTGTTGCAACATGAACTGCTGGGAGGCGAGCTGTTGTTGCCGCAGTGTGGCTGCCTCGAGGCTATTGATGTGCTCGAGCTCGCGCTGTTTGGCCAGATAGTCATCGAAGTATGAGTGCTTGATCAGCTTATCGCAGGGCCAACGCTTGGCTGGATCTTTGTCGAGGCACTTCTTTAGAAAGTCAATGGTGAGCGGATTCTGTAGCGCTTTGGCTGGCATTTTATCCTCCAGTGGCTCGAGCGTGGGCGGCACCGGCAGCGTAATGCCCTTGAAGTACTCATTCTGTCCAAAGATTTGTATGTGTCGCGGCAGCAGATCTCCCAGCGTCTTGCGTATCAGATACAGTTGATCGACATCGCTGCGCCCTGGCCAGAGCGCCTCCCCACGCACCAGCTCAGCAAAGAGGCAGCCGATGGCCCAAACATCCACAGGCGTGCCATACTGAGTGTCGCCGACCAGTAGCTCCGGCGCCCGATACCAGCGTGTGGCCACATAGTCCGTATAATTCTCGCCGGGACTGAGCATCCGTGCAAAACCAAAGTCACATAACTTGACCTGGCCCTGAGCGGTGAGCAGAATGTTCTCGGGCTTGATGTCTCGATGCAAGCAACCTTGTTTATGACAATAATAAACGCCGAGCAATGTTTGATGACAGATCTGTTTGGTCAAATGCTCCGGACAGCCCTGTGGGTGGCGCTCCAGTTCGTGCAAAACTGTGAGCTCACAAAACTCAAAGACCAGATGCAGGCGACGCTTACGTCGAAAGACCTCCAGTAGTGACACCAGATTTGGATGCTTGAGGTTCTATAAATACATAGTTTGAGAAATTAAGAAAATTGTAATACAAAATATAAATTTAGTTTCAATATAAATTTTGAGGTGACGTGATATTTGACCCCTTATTGGGGAAATTGGGGCATGTTTGCGTAATTTTTAAACAAATTTTTTAGTTTTAGATAGATGTTTCAATAGTTTTACAACAATCTATTTATGAAGGCTAATACAGTAGTAGTGATATCATCGAAGGTATTAAATGAAACAAAAAGAATTTCATTTAAATTAAAAAATGCATTTCGACATCTTACAAGGGGAAGGGGAAAGCGGGCGAAATATCTTTGGTGTACAAATTTTTCGTTTGAGTTTTAATACAGTCCAAGAAATGGGTATGATGGTGTATGAGCACACAGTTGGGCACTCTGTATACAAATGCACATACACTGGATGCGCATGTGGATGTTGTGGAACGTCCGCTTAGTTCAATGGTGTCTACTATTTGGAAGGGCGAGGAAAAAGTCCAAATCGAAATACGCAATAGCTAAAACCATTCGTCTCACATAACAAATGAACACTTTGCAAGGGTATAATGAATTCGGTTCAAGCAATTAGAAACACAGACTTTCGTTTATATTTTTCAGATCAGTTACATAAATATTTGCGTTAGGTCTTATTGGATATATCTTCCAAGAACTAAAAATGTTTAGTTTTCCACCTGTTTTGAAATGTGGAAGATAGAATGTATTTTTTTATCGTTGCTTCTGACTTGTGCGGTGGTGAGTTATAGTTTAACTTATGGGTTTCAGATAGTAGAATCGTTTTTTCCCCTTTATAAAGTCAACTTTAATGCCGAAAAAAATAAATGGAGATAGTAATCATGCAGAAAAAGCATCTATTAAAGGTAACACTCAGAAGAAGATAGTTGAAGTTAGAGACTTCAAGTCCACTGGTATGCTTGGAAAACATAATTCTAAGACTTCTTCCGATGAAGTTTATCATAAAGAAATGGGTGACGACTTAATTATGAGATCGAATGTTGGAACTCGTGTCAAGAATGGTTCTATAAAAACCCACCATTTAAATGCAGATAATGAGAATCTCGATAAAACCTATAGAGGCCCAAAAAACGTAAGAGGAATTAGAACAAAGTTTTCAAGAAGAAATACAAATATAACAAATCAGGATTTAACTAAATGGAACAGGAGACATGGAAGTTCAGCTGCTGGAGCCATAATTCGGAGTAGAACAACAGTATCGACTCGGACAACTAAAAGTTTAACAATCAAATTACATAGAAAAAAAAAAATTTTATTTAAATTCATCAAATGTAGATGGATACAGGCTAAAATGGCGTGGGTTATAGCAACAGAAATTATAGGCAATTACGAAATATTAAAGAAATGTGTGAAAGTTTTAGGACTAAGAACTAAAAAAAAGATAATGTTACCAGTGCCTGCAAGGCTTCTGGTGCGGGAAGTCGTTAAGCTTGGTGCATTATTGGTAGGAAAAGTTAATGTACCTCGAATATTATCTATTTTAAGGAAGTTGTATAAATACAAAGCACTCATTGAATGTGCAAAAGCAATATATGAAGCATACAAGAAATTGGACGACTTGAACGATGAATATAATGATAAGGATTGTTAGTCAAATATATATTTTAAAAATTGGCCAATATGACCAACGTAATATAATTGTATTCTACTGTTGCATGCTTGATTATGTATCACTGGGTTTGTACAAAAGAGGAAGAGGATCTACAGTTCCTCTTCCCCATATTATAGGAATAATAGACGAATGCCTTCTGCCTGTTCCGCAACCAAAAGTTCAAGCTGTGATTTGATATTTATTCACAAAAACAAAAAACAATCAAATTATTCGTATAAATTATTTGAAAAAGTCTTTATTGAAGCACTAATTTCAAAAGTACACTTACCTTCAGTAGCCTTATTTCTCTGAGTGCTATTTTACGTATGGCCGGATCATCTTCAGATTCGACAAATCTCTTGACGGCTACCAGGGCGCCCGTTTCACGATCGCGGCACTTGTAGACCACACCATAGGATCCCTCACCCAAGCGGCTGAGCTTCTCATAACGATCCATTTTGCTGCTACCTTGTGGTCTGTAAGGAAATATATAATTGTTTTATTGCTATTGCCAAAATAAGCCTGAAATATTGGACTAAGTACACTGGACATTGGTTTACCTTAAGCTCAAACATTGACCACGTTTGATGTTTGCGCGACGCATTGCTTTGCATTGAGCACATAAAATGGTTACCAGCTTATTCGATTGATAACTTAAGCACGAACACATTAGAGAGTAACACCAATACGGTAACAATTAAAGTCAGGCATGAGATCGAAACTATGTACAATAAGATATGATAGTTTAGAGCAAATGATCCGACGATGAAATGGGTTTTTGATGCATCATCTATTCAGTATTTGAAGCTGTTGATTGATCGTTGGTTGAACGAAAAGTGAATAGATGGGAGCTGAATTCAATGGGTTCAAAATAAGAAAGCAAATGAGAGTGAAGAACTCGTTAATGATTAGGTAGCAGAATGAAAAATTATATATATATTTGAGGTATTATATCAAATAATGAAATGGTTTTGTATTAATAAAAATAGTTAGTAATATTAGTAATATCTGGCAATTGGCGTGCAGAACTTAAAACAACTTCAACTTAGCTTTATTGCAACTATAATAACCTTTCCAAGCACAACTAATTCTACAAAACATTTTTGAAGCATGCATTTTAGGACCGCATCTAATCATTTTCTAAATCTTTTTCAAATTTATAAGCGTCTTTAGGGAACCCCCAAGTAACCCTAAGTAATGTATTATTTTGAATAAAGGATAAGGAGGACGACGTGGTGACGTTAAATGTTAATTTATAAAATTAATTTAAAAGTATTAATAAAAATAGAAGAAATAATTTTAATAGAGTCAAATGGGCCAAATTTTAGTAACACAGCAGATGCTTGTTGAAACTTCATTATCTATAAAGCCAAAATTACTCAAAGACATTAACTGGTTTCTACAAATATGAGATGATAAGAGTTTTAGTTCATCTCCAATACAGCAAATAAATAAAACCGAAAGACTATATATAAAGTTGGAGTTTTTTCTACTTACTGCTGCACAATTCGAAATAAAACTCATTTTCCTAATATTTGAACATTGAATTAAAAATTAAAGGAATTGCTTGTCAAAGGCTGCAGCTTAGCTGTGAGTTTAATAATTTCTATTGTACCCGCAATCCTGAGCAGGAATACATATATAGTATAGTAATACACATAATATATGTAAAACAATATGTGATTGTAATAAAAGTACTTTTAGCAAAGGACAACCTCCCACTGAGAAGCACCATCGATTTTACGGATAATTGATAATTAAGACAATAATGAGTTAAATAATGAAGTTTTTTTTACAAACCAACATCATTTTTTATTCCAATTTGATGTATTGGGCAATGGAATGACTTTTCTAATGTCAAACAGTCTTGGCATTAATGAAATTTCTATACTTCCCAACACACTACACATTTCTAACAAAAATCAATAACTGACACCAATTTATTATCTATGTATAGGGCTTCTAATGAGTGTCGCATAAAAGCTCTATTGGGGTTTATTAGCTTCAACAGTCCTTTGATGTAAAAGTGCGTGAAATCGATTTTTTGACTGCACCCGAACCCAATGCTCTTTTGAATAGAAAACAAAGAGCGTTTTATGCATTAACCCTGAAGCAGTTTAGCTGATTTTTTATGCCTGATAAACAGAAAACATTATTAGCATTTCCCAGCGGTTGAACTGTATGTATATGTTATGTACAAGTACATAAAAGGACGAGTGTATGAGGTAACTGAACTTTGATGTGGCCGAAAAGTTGACGGTGGCTAACATGTGAAGAGGTCGTAAACGTAAAGAATGTGTTCAAATATTCATGTGCAGGAACAGAACAAGGCTGAGGTGTGAAGCAATTAGAAGCACAACTAAAACGTAGAATCAAATAACACTTCAAAAAGAGTGCGGTGCGGCTTACCTAGGTATCCATCTTTCTAGGATTTGGCGTATTTGCTGCTACATAATATATGTTGAGAGATTAGCAAAATGTATGCGCAAGAAGCAAGTTAATTAATTTGTTGTGTAGATTTAAAGGAGTATCGAGAGATAATTATTCAAGAATTTGGAGCCCAATTATACACACCATGCGCTTAAGATACTTAATTGAGGCGATCAATAACCGTTCGAGCAATATTTGGAGGACACATACGTGACTAACCGTTTGTTTGACTGACAACCAGCGACTGTTTGCCCGATTTGACTGGTTTGGCTGTCGCGTCTCCCCCACGGTGCGTCCATATACGTGTACACGCGATACGACAGACCCGAGGGCCCAATGTCATAGCAATGCGACCAAAGCTAACAAAGCAAAAACCACAACAAAAGCAACCCATGCGCAGTGCTCCGAAGTTTTCCAAGAAGTTTCATGAGCTCCCTTTTCTCTCCTTCCCCCTTCGAGGGAGTGCTGTTGTTGTTGTGTTTGATTTTTCTAGCAACAACCGGAAAGCATTTGAGGTGTAGTTCTTGCCTGCCTTTTTGAGGTTACCTGCTGGCAGTTTTCTGGAGAAGTTTCAGTTCCTCCCAGTCGTAGGCGTATACCGATGCTAACTGGGCTAAAGGGTTGGGGCCGACGAAGCACAAAAGATATTCAAACTAGTGCAAAAGTGCAATGTAACTGTGCGTGGTAAGAGTTTTGTGGTTGTTAGCAATTTGGCTTATTAATGGTTGGCAGTTTTTCACTGAAATTATGGTGTAATGAAGGCTTTAAGCACTGCAAAGTTTTTCAGTAAACTGATTATGGGTTAAGCGAACAGACATTGCTGATGGAGAATTGATAAATTAATGACTTAACGATGGTTTAATGGAACCACCCTTTTAAAATTCAATTTTTCTTTTTTTTTTTTTTGAGTATCTTTCAAGGGAGGAAGCAATCATCTTAAGCACTTCCTTAAGTAGTATTCAAAAATTGTTGTATTGTAACACGTTTTTCCTAGGATCTTTCAAATAATATGCTTTAACTGAAGGCGACTAATTTCTATATAAACAAGAGAGAACGCTATAGTCGAGCAGGCCTGAAAGTTATATACACTGCAGTTTGCTGCAGTTTGTGAGCGTAGTACTGGAGTGAAATTGTTGCGCTCATAACTTTTCTTAGACAGTTTTCTCAGATTTAGAGAATGAGTAAATAATTGTATATAGATTACGTGTGCCAAGTTTGGTTTATAAAAATTTCGAAAAGTGGACAGTAGCGGGAATACGGGGGAGAAAATCAAAAAATATAATAACTTCGTGTTAGCTAGGGTCTAGGAGTGTTGGCTAGGACTAGGCCTAGCCCCTTGATTACAGTATGCTCAGCCGTTTCCGAAATCCAGGCGTTCATCCAGACAGACAGACGGACGGACATATTTAGATCGATTTCTCTTATCATGCTAATGAAGAATATATAGAAATTAATTGAGAGTGTTTGGTTTCTCTCAGAAATATGGTACATCGGGGAATAATTGAGATGACTTAGGTAGAATCCTAAAACGTTTAAACGTCTTAGCAATAATATCAATTGACATTATCCGCTGTTCTGGCACATAGGGAATAGACTTAATTACCAAAGATGTTGGTTATTTTATTGAAAATTTAAATTTAATTTAATATAAAATTAAATGTTTATGATATACATTTTTTAAATTAAACGGATTTATTTAATTAGCTTATGTCACATATGTATGTTTATGAAATGCATGCTAAGCATCAATTGAAATCGGGATTGTGTGTGTATGTGTGAGGTACAGAATTGAGCCAAAACAGCAGCAAAACATAAGGACTAGCTGGCAGCAATTTCCAAATTTGAGTTACGGGAGTTAGGGGAACCTCTTGTAGTGAGATCGTTTTCTTTACACAGACCGGCAGATAGACGGACATCGCTATATCGACTTGTGTTATCATCGTGATTAAGAAAATATATACTTTGAGGGGTTTGCCTTCTGTGTTTAACATACTAACATCCCTTTGGAGTCCAAGGGTATAGAAATGTGAGAAAATACCACTTCAAATATTAATCGAACTATTAGTTAATAGAGAGAAGACCGTAGCTTAATACAAAAGCAGTAAAATAATGTCAATTAAGATGCTGAAAAGTTGGTGATTTATAAAAGAAGAACTTGCAAAAAAAAAAAAAAAATCCATTTAAAAGGATCTTTATACTTCAACTGCCCATAGCATCAACCAATTTAATATCCGAAATTTATAGATAGGAATGCTTACCTTCGCAACGAAAACAGTTTGGATATCTCGAACATTTTCATTGCAAGAAATTATGTGTAACACTCAAAGAGCTTTGGAGCTGGCGGCCGAGAAATAATCTAACACGGACGAGCGAGGCGATGTCGCAACGCCAACCACCGGCAGACGACTGAAAGTTTTGGCCAGGACAGCGTCATGAAATGAAATGGCCATAAACAGCAAAGTGCAAACGGCACAAAGCCAAAATGGCAGCGGGCTGGCTGCCTGGCTGGCTGGCCGGCCGGCCGCTTTACCTGATTGCAGACAACCTTAGAAGTACCACAGGCGAGTGTTCCGCAAAGGATATGGCCCGGGTTGGTCGGTTAGAATGCTATATACAGACATACATACTATATACATGTATAGGAGTGCGGCTTTGGTTGCGTGTTGCATTAAATATGCATTAAAAATGCTTTAAAAGAAAATGCAATGAAATAACAGGCGGCAGTGATCGCCAGCCACGTGGCCGAGCAGAAATGAATTACGACTAACAAACACGCATAGGCCATACATATAGTATTCTTATAAGTGTGTATATGTGTTTTTATCTATTTGAATAGACACACAATCTGACAAACAATTATACGGCCTGTGTACTTACAAAGCTAAGCTGTCCTGCACTTCACTTCCAAATTCACAAAACAGTTCTGCAATTCACTTTAATTGGGCCTGCGGCTCTGCTTTAGCTTTTGCCATTTTAGGCACGGCTTTTGACCTTTGCGCTGCGGGCCTCAAGTGTCGGCCGACTCGTAACTATTTTGAAGCTCAATTTGATTTGCATAACTGTAGTTTGTTTCTTCTCCTTGTCTTACCCATTTTCGCCACTCTTTGTTCTTCTTGTAAACAAAGGCACTGTGGCTGCCAGGCATGTCCTTTGTTTGCTTTTATTTTATTTTACTTTTTTTTTTTTGTTTTCTTCATACCTATTAATTACTTTTGTAGGTGTTTGTTTGTTGTGTTACTCAACATCGAGTGCTCAGCGCTTTCAATGAAATATATATTTATTTATTTATGACTTCGTTGCTTGTTTTAGTTTATTTGAGGTCAATGCTTTACACTTGGCAGCGGCTGTTCAACTTGGTTTGGTGTTTGGTGTTTGGTGTTGGTGTTTGGGTTTGTGGCTGCTATCGATTGTGTAATTGCAGGCGGGCTTGTGGTTACGACCTGCGTTGGGTCGAGTCCATTGTTTTAATGGGCACCAAACGGAGCATTGATATGACAAATCAAACGACACAAACGGAATGGCCTCAACTAATTTGTCATGGCGATAATTGATTAACGGCTAGATTTAGTTACATTACGCAGATTAGACGCATCCGGATAAATACTAAATAAAAACAACTAGTCATTATGGCAGTTTGAAAAGTGCCCTGTTAGCAGTAAATAGAAATACCAAATAAGTACCTCAAATAGATTGAACCTTACAAAGGCTTCTCTTGAAACACTGATAAGACTATGGAGGACTATATATAAGTATGCAATCTTTGTTTCTGAATTTTGCCTTAAAAAACTCATTTACTTAAATGGTCCCATCTATTTCATATTAACGTCTTATAGGTTTCATATTCATATATTGTTTAATGAACTGAATAAGCAGGAATGCAACAAAATATCACTTCATTATTGCCGGTTCGATTCAAATTATTCCGCCCAAATGCACAAAAACCCACTTGCAAATGAGTTCATCCATTATTTGATATGTCGTGAGTAAAGGCTAACCGCTTGAACTTATTTAGCCCGCCTTGTCAATTGAAAAACAAAGACCAAACGTGTTTACTCGATTAATCGATACTGCCCTTAACGGTGTTAGACATCTGCAAACGCCAGATCTGTCTAACTATTATATATTCTTTCGTTGTTCTCCCTTTTTCCTTTTTTGTCTAACTCTGTCTCAATAATTAGAATAAGGTTACGTTTGGGAGTCAACTCAGGAACTTGGGAATCAACTCAGTTCTTAGTTGCCTTTTGGAGGACCACATATGTATGTATGTACTTATAATAAACTATAGGCCAATTTTAACGAACTAACTGTCCAGATGAAGACGTAAAACTTCTTGAAGAATGTATGAGTATAATTTAAGCTGTCTACAATGACTCTGATCAATATTCAAACAAAAATCAATACGCAAAAAAAACGCTTTATAATTGACTAACCAAATAAAATTACTTGTAATGTCAACTTGAAATAGGTGTTCTACAATTTACTCATATATATAGCCGAAAAAATAATTTATTAAAGTTCTACAAATATTAAAATTTGTATTAAAATATTCCCAAGCAAAGAGTGCATTTATTGAAAAAGTTTTTGAAAGGCCGGAGTGCATTTTAAATAACTCTATGATAAAAGTGTATTCAATAATAATTAAAAAATATTTTTTATACGAATACTTTAATTAAAAAAGATATAATAAATATAAAACTAAGTATTATACATTCTCAAACTTAATGAATAGCGTTTGTTTTTATTGCCAGCTCTTCAGGACTTATTCAGAAAATTAAATGCCATTTCCTAAGCTGTTGAATGCGTGCCTTTAGACACAGAGACGGCAACAATTGGAATGGAGAACTTCCTTAATTTTTTTCTTTATTTAGTTGTTGATTATTCTTAACCATTTTAGGTAATTGATTTTAGGTTAAAACAGCAATTATACTGCTGCTGCTTTCGGGACATAGCTAGCCGGATTGCAAATAAAATCACCCTAACGTCTAGGAGGACATTATTGGTAGATAGTTTTTTTTGTTGACTTAATAGTTAACAAATAAATATCAATTTGCATGTCTACATTATAGACATTATAGATAGATAGTTTTTTTGTTGACTTAATATTTAACAATTAAATATCAATTTGCATGTCTATTCCTTTTTAATAATTACCAAGATTAGCCGGGATGGTGAATAATTACATGCAAAACAACAGAGCTGCATTTTCTGTTATTCAGGTTGGGGGTTTAAACGATTTTTATGCGCACTACAGCTATTTTTCTGGCATTTGATTGTTGCCCTTTCGAACTGAACTTCCACATTTGCAACTAAAAAAAGTTTGAATGGCTTAAAAATAAGCAGAGGCGAGCCAAACTTTTCTCGAGTAGAATGAGGTGTGTTGAGCAAAAATATTTGCGCAAAAATAGAAATAAGAATATGCGGCGCAAAAGTTGTGCGAAAGCTGTTGCGCAATTAAACGAGCAAACGGGATGAAAAATGGCACCACAAAGGGTTAAGTGGGTGGGGGGAGAGGCAGCGACGTGTTGACATGGCCTTGTGGGCAAAATAAGCGTAAAGTGCAATAAATAACTGGCTATTAATGACAATGTGCATAGCTAGAGACGCAGACATAAGCACGCACACATACACACACACACGCACACACAAACACAGGCACTGTCGTATATATACACTGATAGTTGAGCTTAGTGCTGCATACTTACTGGCGCTGAAGACAAGCAACATGCGTAGGATAAAGGCCAAGGCCACATAAAGTGAAACACGAGTAAATGTCATTGATGGCTTTGCTGGTTTGGCATTTCGAGGCATCGAACAAAGTTTTTGCAACATTTTTCACTTTCATTACGAGCCGGCAAAGTTAAAAGCCGCACACGCAGCTCGTGCATGACTCTAATTAGGCAACGACTGCCGTGCCACATAAACTTTCTTGGAACGTACCTGTTCGCTGGTGCTACTGCGGGCTCATTGCACACCTGAATCTTTTGTATCAAGCGATAGAAAAAGGAGTTTTGAAATGTTTGCGGCAGGTAATAATTTTGAAACATTTCACAATGGCACTGCAAACAATATTTAAAGCGCCAACGTTTGCACGACTCTAAAGCGAAAAGTAGACTAGACAGGACTAGAGCACTTAAATGGTATTTTCAGCTCAGCTAGTCGATTTATTTTATCGATACATACAAGTATATGCATACACACTCACATACGAGTATATGCTGGAGGTGCATCGGGCATCATATTTTATGCATGAGTTGCTATTTGGCTTTAAGGAAGCCAAAGCAGCAAGCTAAGCACGGGACCAGCCATGACAGACACAAGGCACGAACAGGACGGGACGCGACAGGACAGGACAAGGCAGGGCAGAGCAGGACAGGACAGGTGTTCGGAATATGACGTGTTTCGTGTCGGCATCACTTTTGGGGTCAGCTAACAGCTGCTAGCACACAAAAGGCGCATGCAAAATAAGCTGAAAACATGAAAAGCCAACGGCAGAAGGCACAAGGCAGAAGGCACAAGGCAGAAGGCACACGGCATCAGGCAGACAAGTGAGAGTTGCTGTTTGAGCTCATCTAAAAGGCTTCTAGAACAAAACGGCACATGCAAATTATGCGGCTCATGAAGCATCAAACACAAGCAGCCAATAGATGGTGACAGCAGGGAGTGGGAGCTGCGATAATGGCGAATATCGTGGAGGTACATCCGAGACATACATATATGGACAGAGGTAATGTCTGGAGTAAATTGAGGGAGTGCTCAGCAACCTGGATTGTGCATGCAGTTGACAAACCATGCGCAAAAACCGAACCATTTTCAAAGGGGGCTGTCCTGGGAACTAAGCAAGAGTTGGCGACCTTCGTCCAATGACTCATTTTGTCGCGTATATAACACTTTAAATTGCGCCATAATCTATAATATAGCTTTCCAAGGACATCATATGTGCATATATTGTAATATATTGATAATTGAATCGAATTCCATTTCAGTGGATTCTACATAGAAATACATTACCACTAAGCAAGAACGTAGCCAGCTTTTACCAAAGGGGGGTGGTCAAAAAATTAAAAATTTGATTAAATAATGCACGATGCATTTAAAAAATAATTTATGCATATGATGAAAAAACTTCGACAAATCCAACGCAAATCCATTTTAAGGCGAAATAGTGCGTCATAATAATGAACGTGTGGTCGACTTTATATGGAAACATTTTTTCTAGGGGTGGGGGGGGGGGTGTGGACCGGCCCCCCTGCCTACGCCCTTGCCACTAAGAATTAATTCCGCACTGATATTCAATCTTAATTTTCTTCTATTTATAGCAGCCTTATCCAATAGCAACCAATTCAGCACTTGTGCCTGTCTGATCTGCTTAATTTGCAGAACTTAT